CCTCTATCAACTACAATTCTTTCCCGTTAAATCCTTGGGACACTGATAGAGGAATTTATTGAATTCCTGAATCCAATATATTCTGTTCTCGATGCCTTAAGAAGACAGAAACTGTTTTGCTTATGGTTTTGAAAGTATTACATAGCTCTGTCACAATTAATACATTAAAAAAAAAAAAAAGAAGAAGCGAAGACTTATGTAAGGGTATTTCTCAGGTAGCCCTGAAAACTGTTCCAATGTCAATTGTTCCTGTATTAATATACTTTTAACCAACTAGTGATAACTTAAATTAAATAATGGAGTAATATTATAAGTACAAAAAAGTAAGAATGGCTTAAATTTTGATAAGACTCAATTAATGAAAGGTTTTATACCTGTACTCTGGAACAAAAAGGGCTAAAGTCTTCCAATTAGTAGTTATTAAGGCTAATAATTGAAGTACATTAGCACTTTAAACTATTAAACAATTCAATATGGTGGCCATATTCCCCACCTTTCATAGTATACTACCCAAAAACGTTTAAGTTATTATCTTTAAACATTATTTTTTGTTTAGGATAAGTTTTAAAATTTTACAAAAATTAAGTCTTCAGGATTTATTTTGTAATCAAGTTGTAGCGCCGGTTTGCCTATTAAATGTTGTGTTAACTTACAAATTAAATCAGATTATTCCATTTAATTTCAATTCTGTAAATACTTCCTATTAGGTAAATTGGTATATCGGTTTATTATTGAAAAATCATTAAGAGTAACAATTTATAAAATTAAATTACTAATTACTTTATATGAAATCAAAATATTACTTATTTTTGACATGGTTGGATTGGTGTTATTTTGATACAGTAATTTGACTTTTTTGGATTCATAAATATGATCAAATGTATGTGCTTAAAAGTTTAGTAACATCAAAAGTGTACATAGTAACTTTGCAAATAAGTCATATCTGATGATAATTTTTCTTTATTGGATATAAAAAAAAAAAAACAATAGTTACAGGTGAATCCTATATTTACATAATTTAATTATATATATATATATATATATATATATATATATATATATAATTATAAAAAAAAAATTATTTATTTCATGATCAATTAATGAACTACTTTATTTTATTAATGTCAATAACACATTGAAAACTAAATTATATTTTTCTTATATGAAAGAATAATATACATTAATTATTCAATACAAAAAGGAAAACAGTTCACCCAACTAAACTTTGAGGGCTTGTATCTTCTCAACTGTGAAAGTAATTCCAAAATCGACGCATGCTCTTTCTTATCAAAAACTAGTTTTTGCCAATCTAAATGCTAAGATTGATGAGGAAATCTTTTATGTCCATAACCATAGAGCATAGTACATACTTGAATAGTGAGGTAGAATGAACACACCGTGAGAAGCGGAAAGGGGACAGTTCAGCATCACACACAGTCATAGAGGAGGGACTTAATGAACATGTCGGTATGTTCACCGTAAGGAATGGGTTATTGTACATCATAATCTGATTACTTTCAAGAAGTTGACTCGATATTCTGAAGTTTTATCTGTTTTTGTTCCAAGGTACAGATTGATCAAAATTATAATATAAATCCAGTTGATTTCTTATAATGCTATCACAATTTTAAGATATTTATTTAATAAATAATAATTTTTCAAAATATACAGAATTTTTAAGTACTAAATTAATGAAATAAAATGTCTGCTTGTTTTTATTTACAAATAATTTTAGTAAAGCCTTTTATAACTATTTTCTATAGCTAGTCAATAGAGAATTAAAATACAAACCTTAAATGTATAAATCACTTGTATCTTAACTATATCAATAAATGAGTAATAGCATTTAAACTAAGTTGGATAAAAGTTAACACAGTCTATGAATAATTAAAACAACTTTTAGTTAATATCTTATCAATTATGTTCAGTAGTTTTATCACTTGTTAAAATTTACATATATATTTATATATACACTGACAGAATATGGAACTATGACTTGTGAAGGAGCCATCTAGTAGTGCACTCCAAAGACTGATTTAAAAAAAATAAAGAGCCAATAAGAGTTTAAAAGTACTGAATACACTCGTTTAATAGATACTTTGTTAAAATAATTTCATCTGTTTTCATTTTTATAATTAGTTATTTCTTTCTAGATCTAATATGTAATATTTTTCTTATTATTTTATTTATATATTAAAAAAAATGTATTATTCGTCATTTCTGTAAAAAAAAAAATTTAAAAGAGTATAGTAGTCTTCGCATAACTTGTGATAAATGATTGATGTGTTATGGTGCTTAAAAGTTAGGATGAATCTTAAGTGAATGATCACTCATGCTTCCGTTGTTGATTTTAATTATAAAGGGACTTTTTTATTTGAACCTACATAAAGTTTGAAAACTATAAATTCATAAGGAAATTTGAAAAAAGTATTCACTTCAAACTTCATAATGTTGGACAAACTTTGGTAACCTCTTTTATCCAACATTTTCCAGATCCCTTTCACATATTTTTTTTACATTCCATTCCACTTTAAACAAAAGTAGGAAATAAAAGATGAAAGCTTATTATAACCTCACATTTACGAAATTAGCTGCAACTTTAACAGACCATATGTGCTAGCAGCAATATTTAACACGCTATTCTTAAATAAATTTCTCAACTTTAACACATTTAAGAGGTTTACAATACTTAGCACTGGTTGCATGAATACCCCTAACATCTGAATCTCTTGTTAAATAAATATAAATGTATGATTTTCAAAGAATGCTTTTGAATTCTTACAACATAGTTTACATAGCAAATATGATATATAAACAACTTGTACAATAGTAACACAAGATCAGTTATTGGTAATAATTGATACATTTATGTACATTAAGGTCCTATTAGTAATATTAATTAGCACTAAATATGTAAGATAAATCTATCCTCCACAAGGTTTTAAAGCCTCTTACTACTTTCAAAGTTATCTTCTTTTCTACTTTTCAATATAGATATATATTTGGGACCCATTTATTCTGCTAATTCTTCATATAAATGTATGAAAGAAGGAAAAAAAAAATATCCAACTCCTCTAACCAATATAATATTGATAAACTAAACTTTTTTTCTTTAGAACAATTGAGAAGACATGAAGAAACACCAAAATTTAATTTAACCAATCTTAGTTTTAAATAGAAACACACAAACCCCTCCTCCAAAACAAAGAATAATAGAATGAGATACTATTAAAAATTTGAGGTTATTGGATATAATATAGATTTACATACATAAATCATACCAAGCAGTCTTTTAAATTAAGCAACATTAACTTTCCACATTCTCTTAATCTCAATCCAATTGATAAGGGAACAGGCTAGAAGAGGGGAGGGGGGAGAAGGAATTAATTTGAGGTTGGAGAAATTAGTCTTTATTTTGAAATTAGTTTCTTTCAGAATGTTGAAATTTTAACAAACAACTTGTTTCAAGCAGATGAGGTGACCGAGTGGGCTAAAGTGTGTGCACAGAACCATGCGTTGCCTGGCAACCTGATAACCAAGATTTGAAATAAACACATAATTACGAGTTCAAATCCTGGTGCCCAGTGGAACATTTAACACGGCATAATTCCCCCGGCCCGGGAAAAAAACCAAGTTGTTCCTGTTAATAAATTTTTCAGATGTTTGAATTTATGCTGACTTTATTTTGCAGGAGTCTATATAGAGAACCTAAATATAGAATTAAGCATACCACTAGGTAAACATGCTACGGTATTCCAAGCAGAGGTGCTTGCTATACTTTCTGCGGTCACCTGTTTAGAAGTTACCAATAGCGAGAATGCTGGCATTACTATCTATTTGGATAGTCAGTCAGCACTACAAGCATTAGAGTCTCCCAAAGTGACCTCCACACTAGTGCAGGAGTGCAAACAGGCGGAGAAACTGGCCTGCTCCAAAAGCGTGGAACTAGTGTGGGTCCCTGGTCACAAGGGAATTAAAGCCAACGAAAAAGCTGATTACCTAGCAAGGAAAGGAGCGGAATCTCCTATTGTAGGCCCGGAACCTGCAATAGGAATATCCAAAAAGCATCAGCGGAAAGAAGTCCTTGACTGGACTTGGAAGATAACAGGTAAAGAATGGAGGGAATGACTGGGCTTAGACAGGCGAAGCAATTTATTAAAAGCCCCTCTCCCTCCAAAACAAAGTGGCTGCTGGGCCTAACTAGGAAAAAAATCCGACTCATCATCGGAGTACTAACAGTCCACTGCAGACTTAAAAGATAATTAAAGATCTGTGGGATGGTGGATGATGAGCTCTGTAATTTCTGCAGAAGTGCACCTGAAACTGCCGTTCACTTCATAACGGAATGTGACCGATTTGCGTCCCTCAGATACAGACTTTTGAGAGCAGACAGAATTCAAGTATGCAAAGCTGCCTCCATTAAATGGTCCAACCTTTTGAACTTCATTAGAAGAACAAAAAGGTTTGAGACCTAATAGAGGTACAATAGATGACCACTGGTAGTATCAAATTTTGTGGTTGGCAAAAAGGACCAATAGGCCCACTTACCGGACTAAGTCCCCCCCATCTATACCAGTACCAGTACTTTATTTTAAATATTTTCTAAATTGAAAGTGGAAGAAGAGAAACAGCCCGATCTTATCCTTCTCTGGATATGCCCAAGCGGGTAAGTGCCATCAGCCTATTTGGAGGAAGCTGATCCCAAACACATAGAAATAATGATATTAAATCAACTCCGTGAAATAGAGCCCAATTTTCTTTTTTTATAAAGTCTTAGCGTTCTGATAGCCTCCTTAGAGTTCTAGAGTTCCCTATATTTTTTAGAAATAGTTCTGCTGTTTAAACTGCTGAAAATATCAACTAAAGTTACGGGAAAGTAATTTCACGATTTATGCAACTTTGAAGCCATATAATCTTTTAATATCAGTTTTAGAGAAAAAGTTCATTAGATTAATTGTTAGAACTACTTGGGGGGGGGGGGCTACCAGATCTCAGGATAAAACAAAGGATTATTTTCTCAAAATTCTCTCCTCCACAAAATCAAAATTCTTTTTAGAGTTCCGATTGTCCCTTAAAAGTTCTAGAGTTCCCTATTTTATTTTTAAAATAGTTCTGTTGTTTAAATTACTGAAAATACCATATAAAGTTACAAAAAACTAAAATCATGATTTGTGCAACTTGCCAGGCTTATATTTTTTTCCAAACAATTTTAGGACTATAGTTCATTATAATAATTTTTAGAACTCTTGGGGGAGGGGAGCATCAAAACTATTAGCAGAACAGTCGAATTCCAAAAAAAATTTTGGACTGAAATACAGATCTAACTATTCCCAACTTATATAAAATCATCAAATATTTTTCCTAAAAAGAACAATTCTGATTGCAGTTCTGTTGGCCCCTCAATTGATAATGGGTATTTTCTAGAGCATCGGAATATAAATTTTTGGCCCATGTTGCCTAGCTTCCTACAGAAATTTCATCTTCATCATAACTGTTTCCATTGTTATAATCAGAATCATAAGACCTTTAAAGTAGAAGAATATATAACTTTGGGAGGAGAAGTGCTGCATTGTTTTCTAAGGTGCCAATTGGCCTTCTATACATCATGACAAACATTGGTCACAGCAATTTTGGAGATTGGGTTATACAAATTACATCTGTAAGTAGATAAATACATTTAAAATCCTGATCAAAGATTTTGTGATCTGCACTGCTAAAAAAAATATAAATAAAATAATAAGAAAATCATATACAGATTATACATTATTACATAACAAAATACATATATATCACTATCATTTAAACCAATAGCTGGCTATATAACAAACAGGAGGTAATATTTATCTTTAGATCCTGAGATGAGAAGGTTATAACTACAATAAATTAAACAAATACAAAATCTTTAAAAGAAAAATTCATTATAGAGAGAGAGGATCCATCGGAACCTGAGAAAGACTATACACATTGTACATGTACGGAGATAGTGTCTGTTGGGCCTGGTAGATATCAGGGCTGGTTTGTATTTCTTGATAGGCCTGACCCGATGTGATTTGATAATCACTACTAAGTCTTGAGGTACGACTTGTGTTGATGCCATGTCTTCGCTTCATGTGCTTATTATAATTAGGCCAGTTGGTGAAATGGTGTTGACATTCTAAACAAGAATATGGACGCTCACCAGTATGCTGTCGTCTGTGGGTCTAAAACAGTGAATAATGCTTAATATTAATCTTATTACAGTTTTTCACATAACCCATTGGTCCCTCAAAACTAGATTTTCAACTATTAAAACATACTGAGAAAACTTTAAATGTTAAAATTACTTTTGTATGATATACATTGTTGTAAAGAGTAAATTCTAAAAAAGTTTTTACAAATGAATTAAAAATGAGAAAAACTCTTACTGTTAGAATTCCCTTGAACCGAAAAGCTTTACCACAAAATTCACAAGTAAAAGGCATAGCACCAGTGTGAATCCTGTGGTGTTCTCTCAAAGTACCCTTTTCTCGAAATGTACGCCCACATACATCGCACTGGTGTGGTTTAGCACCTGTATGAACTGAATGATGTTTACGTAGCTGCATTCCAGTTTTAAACCTAAACATAATGAAACAAAATTATTTACTAATAAAATGTATATTTTTTTGTTTTTAGGTACCAGGAACTTAACAAAATTACACCAAGATAAAGAAAAATAAATTAATTCAAATACAGCACACCTTGGCTAACTAAAAACTAAAATAACGTGGAAACATGAAAATATTTTTGTACTGAAGATAAAAAAAAAAGGAAGAAAAGTTTATAATAGTTTTTAGTTATTAGTTTTTTTTTATTTCCAAGAAAAGGAGTCAAAAGTATTATTAAAATCTTGGGTTCCAAACATTAGTCTACACAAAAAGTGAACTATGTAATCTAGAGCATGATTACAGCACACTCACTACACATTATTAAAGGTCTCTTGAACTATTAAAAATTAACAAAAATCTTTTTTTTTTCTGAGAGACAAGGAATTCATGCAAGAGTTAAAAGTCCACTTGGACTGGGATTCTAACTTGTAATCTTCAGTTCATCAGGTTGCCGGGCAATGCGCCAGTTGCATACACGTTAACCTGCTCGGCCACCCCATCCCATAGGTAATAAGTTCTACTACTAAACTTATTTTTCATTGGTCTTGTTAGTTAAGTTAGATTTAGAAATTATCAAGAAAATTATTTAACTTTTTTTTTCTTATTTTCCAAGTTAGGTAAATCTTATGAAAATATGCACCAATTTTGTAAATAAAAACATTAATCATTAACGTTAAGTATTACATGAATACAGTATATTTCATTGTTATTAAAATTTTAAATGCAAAATTTAGGTGGAAAATGTTCTTTTCAGAAAGCACAAAAAATGTTATGTATGTTATAAGCCACACAAAAATACTTTTTATAATTGGTAATTGGTCGACTGTCGTGGATAATGAAGAGAAGAATAGTTGGGGTGGTCAGTCAAAAAATAAATGATAATATTTTATTTTTTATTTATTTTTTTTTTATAATATATATATATTTTTTTATTTCAATTATTCTCCCTTATTACTCAATAGTTATTTTTCTTTTGAATTTTTCTTTCACTTTCTATTAACTTTCGTTCAATTTTCCATAATTTTTCTGAATAATATATCTCTCGTACCTATTTACGCTTCCAGCGCTTTAGTTCAAACTTCGTCGGATAACCATTAGAGATGACGCCACCTACACATCTCTTCTCTCTCCCCCTCCCTTGTAACGACTTTTATTCTCCCTGCAAAACTTAAGGAGACAGGTAGTACTTCTTTTATTTATTTCTTATTTCAGCTTTCTCAATTTTTTCCCTCCTTCCTTCCATTCCTTTTCTCTGTTTTTAACTATTTATTATATTATACATTGTCTGTACTATCTTGATAGACTTTACAATATCTCAATTTTCTATCTAACTACTCCATTCTCAATGTTTTAATTTTACTATTTATTTTTATTTCTTATATAACTTCATACTTCTTTTTTATGTTTTACATTTTATTCTAAGATTCCCATTGTAACACTTATGTCACACTTTTTGATTATGCCTACTTCATCATTCCACACTCTGTAACGGTTATTATTATTTATCTCTTAGTTCTTAGACATTATTCTAACAATTTCATTTTACTTTATATTTATTTATTTAATTTAATTTTTTTATTTATTTTTTTTATTTTTTTTTATATATTTTCTTTTTACCATCACTACTTATGTTTCTCATACCTTGTTATCTGGTTATTTTCTTAGCCCTGATGAAGGCCTGAACTTCAGGTCGAAACGTCGGCATATGTAAAAAATAAATATTATCATTTATTTTTTGCCTTCCTTTTTGGCTGACCACCCCAACTATTCTTCTCTTCAAAAATACTTTTTGTTATCTTAAAAACAATAAAATTTGCTAATAAGTTTTAATAATAAAGCTTTTACCGTTTATTTAGTTGATGAAATTTTGAGACATCTATACTAAATAAAAACGAAAATGTTCCTCACCTTTATGAAATGAATAAAAGCTATGTTATGATTTTGCCAGACAATAGAAGTATTTTTTTATTAATGGAATATACTGTACCAATGAAATGTTTGATTTTAAGATGAGTACAAACTAAACTTTTATTTTACATAACTAATTTATATCGATAGACACACTGCAAAAGCCTGTAAGCACCAATTTTATTGGAAAGGGCTTTTCTTTTCAATTTTGTCAATAAACATCATTAATAAATAAGCATTGCCTATCTTATTTATTAATATATTGTTAAAATATTGTTAATTATACATTGTTAAATATCTGTGATTGGTTTTGTTAATATTCAGCCTTACTCTACATTTTCGTTACTTGAATGATTAAAAAAATATATTAATTATTAATATAGTTTTTATTTTAATCATAAAATTTAGTCAGTAATTTTTCTATAAATTAAAATAACAAATAAAATGTATATATTATAAATCCTACAGCTGTATAATGTGTAAATTAATAAAGTAGAAAAGATTTTCCATATGCATAGATTTAGTATTGGGTATGTTTTAAAATGTTGTTAATCGGAAATTTTTGGAAAAACTAATGAATAATGTTTCTTCTACAAAAGTAGATTGACATCTTGGAAAACTATAATAATAATAAACATTCACCAAATCTACGTATGTAGATGTCTGTTAGAGATTTTCTCAAGAAAATATTTACATGTTTTTTATTTCTTTTGTTCGTGTTTTATTATAATTTCTTCACAAGTAGTTAAATTCATCAGGAGAAATCATTCCATTTTATTATTTCAGATTTTAAATGCATTAATAAATTTTGAAAACGTTAATTATAATAATTGTCTAATTTGCACATTTCATATAAAAATACATAAATACTGCTCACTGTACATGAAAATTAAAATCGACAAGCTAATTATTTAATGCAAAGGATGAAAATTTAAATTCTTCTGATTATATCATTTATACATAAAATGTGCTAAGTTTAGTAATATTAATTGTTTTATGGAGTAAGGTTTTGATGGTTTGTAAATTTATATATAAATAGCATAAATATATATACAGCTTAAAGTTCATTGGAAACTATAGTATGACCACAATTTGTAGGCAGACCGAGGGCAAACTCATGCGTCATTAAGCAGGAACTCACATTTTTTTTTTTTTCCAAAACCTCCAATATAATTTACAAAAATATTCACAAATAAATAAATATATATATTCAAAGCTAATATTGTAATCTTCTAATTTATGTCTATGTGTTTAAATATCTGTCTATGTTAATAAATATCTTCATTTAATTGTAAAAAGTAATTAAGTGACATTTCATGACCCTAAATCACTAAGAACTCTAATGAATTAGGAGTTAGAAATATTCTCCTTTGTAAAATATTTACTTCAGATACCAGATTGGTTTTGAATAAATATATTTGGTAGATAGCTACAAAAAAGGCACAATTTAGACCAATCAACGTAGCAATGTTGGACTAAATACTTTCTAAGAGAGAAACAAAGTTGATAGTCGTTTTTTGCACCTCAAGAAATCTTTTAATATAAATTTTTCTAGCAGTCGAAAAATTACGATTTTCTGCATGAAATTTTGCCTAGGCTGCACCCTTCAACATTTTTTTGACAGTGCCTTTTAGTTTTTGTAATTTATGATACATAATAACTCATTTAATGCATTGTCAAAATTTTTCCTTATTCTGTACAAAAAAAAAAAGAAAGAAAAAAAGTCGATTGATATATAATAACCTAAAAATCCGAGCAGAGCAAAGGCAAAAATAAATTTAGTTTTAAATCATAGAAAATATTTTTTTTTTCGGCTCCGAGGGATCATTAAAACAAATGCTGGGCCATGTATCCAATATTTTTCGATGTAGTATCACTGAAAAAAAAAATAGTTGAAATTAGTGACCCTATGACTGCAGTCTCCCCTTGTTATTATTGACTTTTTACAATAAACCGACCATATTTTGTAACATCACAGGATTTGGGGGAAAAAATGAAAAAAAGTTTCAACTTAGTGCTGCATGAGTTCCCTCTCACGTTTTTAAAATAATTCACTTATAGAAAAATCAATCTTCTCTAAGTTAGATAGTGAGGAGGCAAGCAAAAGTAAAAATAAGAAATTGAAAATATTACTTATAAGTGCTTAGTAATGGGCTAATTACTTAATAGTAACAGGTCTAAAATGGGATTATAACAATTGTCATCAAATTTTCAAAAATATATGAAAAATAAACACCTGAATCTGCTTTAGGATTTGACTCTGATGTTAGATCAGAGGCCATTGAGTATTAATGTTTCCTCTTATATAAGAATTTAGGTAAGGGTATTCTGTTATATATTTTTCTTTTACCACAATCATCTATCGAGGTTCTTGGGTTGAGTACTTGTAAGGAAGTACTATTTCAATGCCAAAGGTTGTGCCGGGAGGTGATCAGTCTCAACCACCAGATTTTTCCAAATCATTAATTAACAGTACCCAATTTATAGAGGCTGGGTTTGCCCCAGGAGGGTCTTTGACACCAGAGTTGATCAATGACTGATGTAATACTCAGAACCCAAGGTATAGGACCACAGTCCCTTACTCGCTGAGATACCCTGATTTGAGATAAGGGTACTCTGTAACTATTTAGCTGGTGGAGCCTTAAAAAATGGTGGCAGAAGAATTTATAATGCAAAAATTCTGGAAAATATGAATTTCCTATCAACAGAAAATAAACTGAGGTTAACAGAAAGGCATTTAAAATGATTTTGTTGTAGCTTTCCTATGTTTCCAAGAATTATGTCTTAATACTCAATGATTCATGATCTGTCTTTCGAGCAACAGAAATTAGATAAAACTGAAATCAGCCTTTAAATAAACAATCGATAACTGCCCCAGAGGAAGAAATATTTCATTAAGTTAACTTAATAGCCACCATAAGTGAAGAAAAAAAATCAAATATATTATTCTGTCTTTTTACAAGGTATAAAGTAACAAAACTGCTATTTATACTTCTAAAAAGCATGAAGCGTAAAGCATACCTTTTACAGCATAACTCACAGGAGAATGGTTTATCGTGAGAATGAGTAAGTAAATGAGCATCCAAGTTTCCTTTCTGGATAAAACTTTTACCACATTGATCACAGGTATAATTTTTAACACCTGAGTGTATCCTCATATGAGTAACCAAATTGGGTTTAGTAGAAAATCTGCAAATATGTTTATTGATTCAGTTAGTTTAGTCATTAATACGTTCTATTTTTACCAAATTTAAAAGCCATCGCTAAAAGAGTTGCTTTGGCTACATTGTTGAGAAAACTTGATTGTCTATGCTAAATATTTATTGCATACTTATATCCATGAAAATTTTAGTACAAAATCGTTGTTTGCATGGTTTTCAAAAGTGCAAAAATGCCACATTTGTTATTTCTGAAGATAACCAATTCAACTATATAGTGAAAATTAAATATCAGAAAACATGATGACAGATCAGTTCCATAAAAACCCATTGAGGGAACAGGCATTGGTAGAGGGGGCTGATTTGTGACCTTGCTGTATACCAAAATCTAATCAATCACCTAATTTATATCCTGAGTTATCAAGGTCTATGTCAGATACTTATTTGTTGAAGTAAAATGTATGATTTAAGGACTTTCTTAAGCTTATCTGGATAATATAAAAATAGTACTCGAATACTTAAACTTTATTTATTTATATGATATTTACAACTGTATACAAAAAATACATCTGGTAAATTCGCACATGGATATAATGACATGGAACACATGTTGAGGAACTACCCATTGGTAGCACTCTAATAATATGTCTATATTAGAAGATCACGTGGCCATCTTCTTTTCAGACGCCTCGGAGGGTTATCAGGAATCGAATAGGAAGCAAGGTTAGAGACAAGAGGGTTGGGATGGTTATGAAGTTTATTATGGAAGGACAGATATCTGGATTGGGCCAAATCTGATACATAAGGAACATTAAGGTCATTATGGATAATTTTATTTGTAACAAAGTAAGGAGCATTGAGGATTTTATGAAGGATTTTGGATTGTAAGGATTGTATGCGAGAGGAATTTGAAGGTTTGGTGGAGCCCCATAGCTCAACTCCGTAAGTCCAAATAGGCCTTATTATAGTCATGTAAATGAGTCTTTTATAATTGATTGGAAGGTTAGAGCGTTTGTCTAGTAAGTGTTGAAGTAGTCGGAAACGTCGAGCTGTTTCTTGTCGTTTCAGTCTGGTATGAGGATTCCAAGTTAGATGTTTGTCCAGATGGAGTCCTAGGTAACGGATTTGTTCAACAGGAATAAGTGAGGTGTTGTTAAAGGATACTGAAGGACAGGAAGTCATTGGTTTACGAGAATACTTAAACTAATAATAAATACTTAAATCAATAAATAGTGTTAATCATCTGGTATTTTAATTTTCATTTAAGAAACGAATGAATTAAATTATTTTTTCAAAACTCTCATACCACCATATAATTAAACCCTTAGATCGATATAAAATTATGCTAGATTGGCCAACATAAGAACTAATAATTAATAACTAAGAATTATAATCAGATTTATAATTGAACTAAGGTCACCAAAAGTCTAATTCATTACTACTAAAATTAATTTGATATAATTACCTTTTATTGCATAAGCTGCATGGAAATTTATTTTTTATATCATCTGGAAGATGGCAACGACTGTGTATGTACAAAGCACTTTGCTGTCGGAAGGACTTCCCACATTCTTGGCAAGCATATGGACGAGCATCTGAATGAGTAGAGGAATGAGCATCCAATACTTTCTTGTTAGAAAAACCTTTCCCACATTCTAGGCAACTATAAAAAAAAGAATATATACAGGGTTTCTAATAGATAATGGGAAATGTTTAGAGAGATGATAGAAAACATCAATAACTCTAAAAGTACAGACTATAAAACTATAAAAGTAAGTTTGAATAGACTATCATCCAATTTCACAAAGAAAACCAGGAAATTTTTAAGTGTTTTTTAAGTAAGCTTCATTTTATGTTAAATAGGAAGCAATCACAAAAGCCAAAAAACACATAAACATCATCACAGGCACTACAACCTCTGCGTCGGCTTCGACCTCATCTGCCCATCTCAGTTGTGGTCGTCCTCTCTTTCTTCTACCATCCAAATATCCGAACAGAAGCCATTTGATTGGTGAGTCCCCATCCATCCTTGCAACGCGACCAGTCCATCTTAGGCTAGAGAGCTGTATAAATTGCATCACATCCGGTTCCAGATAAATTTGATACAATCCAATACAATACAATTTTTTATTTTCATCACAATCCCAAGGCTCATAGTACTTAGTGAAGGTCAAAATGTGGCCCACAGGGCTTTTTGAAGGTCTCAATGTGGCTAGCGGGCCAAAAAGTTTGGAGAACCCTGGTATAGAACCACAAATTTCGCTAGTGAAAGTCAAACAATTTCATTGGCATTGTAATTTCTTTCTAATATAGATGCTTAAAACATTGCACTATCGGTAGATTCCCAAACGTCTATCCTCATTGTAGCACAACCTAATAAATCCTATGCCAAGAATATTTTAAATTGTCAATATATCATTGAAGCATTGCTTCTTCAGAATTAGAAAGATAATCTTTTCTTTTAATGAATACCAAGCCATTGTGGTCTCCACGGTAATGGAATGGCAGATAAATTGCCTAAAGAAGGTACACGACTAGAGCAGCCAGAAAAGTGTATGCCATTCCAAAGGATTAGGGAATAAATAAAGAAGGCAAAATAGTAGTTTCACTGGAATTTATAAAGATAAATACTATAGGGAAGCAATGGAGCAAATGGGTTATTGAAGAAGAAAGGGTCCCAGTTGACAAGCTGAGAAAGGTTGCTGTTGCAGAAGATCGTATGATTACCGGCCATGACTATCTAAAGAAATATCTCTATAAAATAGGAGTGGCAGACTCTCCACTCTATAATCAATGCAATGGGGGAGCAATCATGGATGCAATATATTTAAACATGTATTAGGAATGGACAATTCCGATTACAGGTCGAATGAAACAAAGCGTTCCACTATTGGAATTCGTTCCAGTTCTCGTTCTGTTCCATCTTCGTTCCAAATAGCACTTGAAACAAGACAGAAAATAATGAAGCAAATATGCGTAATACTAAAACTATTTAAAAGAGCAGAAAACATCATTGAGGTAGAGGAAAATGAACTGGACGTTTTAGGAACATTGATGAGAGCTTGAGAGGAACATTTTCAAAAATGGATACCAGAATCAAACTCAATGATTAATCAGGTACTTAGAAAAGAATATTTTATACAACAATGATGATACTATGTGATGGTTTGGTCTGAAAAACAAGTACCCTCATTTGCATATCATTGCCAAAGAAATGTTAAGTATAGTCACCACTTGGGTTCCATGCCAATGGATCTTTTCAAAAGTGGCATGTTGATTAACGAATACCTAACTCTACTATCAGCTGGTAAAGTAAAAATTGCTGTTTTTAAATTTCAATTTTGGGATTAATTAATGTAGAGGTTTTATTGTTTTGGTTTTTTAATTCATTCTAAATTTTATAATGTAGGTTTGTTTTTATCTTTATTTTTCTAAATATAATCCTGCAATAAAATTATTTTTGGGTTGGAAAAATTTATATATTTGTCTTAATGTTCCTCAAAATTCCCTTATCCCAAGTTACAGAAAAATATTAATGAATAAAAATCTATTTTTGTTTTCTATTTTGCTTTTTTCTTACATACAAAATTTAATTAATTTAAGGCTTAGTAGTTTAAACTAAAAATAATAACACACATAAAAAAAAAAAAATTCCTGTACCACTTCAACCCATGAAGGGTCTGGGGTTCAGTACTATTTAGGGAAAGCACTGTTTCTAGGTCAACGGTTGTGCAAGGAGGTGATTTGACCGAGATCAAGCTCAACCGCCAGGTTTTTTTCCCTTTATCAATTATTTTAATTAAGGGTACCCACTTTATAGAGGCAGGGTGTGCCGCAGGAGGGTCTACCGACCCAGGGTCGCCCCACGGCCAATGAAACAGATAAATAAATTTTCTGCCATGAGCCGGGGTTCGAACCTGGGACCTTTGCATTGGAAATTCAGTACCCTACCACTGAGCTACCCCACTCCAACAACACACATAGACATTTTAATTTGTATCATAATTATTCCAAACAGATGCAAGAATGAAATCTCAGAATGGAAAGAAAACTGAATATAATGGAACCTAAAGGCGTTCATATTCCGATGGAACGAAATTCCAAAGCCTCTTGGAATGAGAAAAACCGTTCTGGTCGGAACCATTCCGAACAGTTCCAGAGATGGAATTCAAGGCCACTCAGAAGGATAAAAACTGTTCCGGTCGAAACCATTCTGAACCGCCCCCAAGGTGGAATGGTTTGTTCGAACCAGTTCAAGAAATTTTCATTATGATTATAAAAATTGTTAGTTCTGTTTCTTCTTTTTTATCCCGTTGGAATGTGACGTAAAAATAAAAAAATAATAATAAAAAAGCCAAAATTTAATAAAAATCAATTTTTTTTTTTATGTTTAAACATTCTTGTTTAAACATTAAAGAAAAAATTGATTGATATCTCAATCACTCGATTGATATCTCTCTTGAATTTTATAAGTAGCTAAAAAAAGTAAAATAAAATACGTAATCTTAGATTTTATAAATCCAAATAATCTGTGGAAAACCAATGATAAAAAAATCTCCTATGATAAATTTCATTTGCACAACAGAATCACTTAATACAAATGCACTATTTATTTTAATATTATTTATTATTATTTTTATAGTTCATCTGAATCTTGGCATTTTAATTAATATTTTTAAAATTTGCAAATTGCTATCTTAGGATCTTAATATATTTTAATTTAATTGGATTTCTTTTTATCTAATCAAACACTAAATTAAATTTAGTCGTTACAGTTCACTTTTGAAGCAAACAACCTATTCGACTATTCCATTAACCCACTTCAGCGGTAATCAGCTATAGCGCATTAACCTAATTTGCTATAAATCCCTTTTGCACCTATTTTACTTTTCTGCCAAACATTTACCCATCGAAACCTAAAGATTACATCTCTAATTGGCAGAAGCTGAAGAAGAAATACATAAATAAAAAAAAAATTTTGAAATTGAGATTTGTTGCTAAAAGTTTTAAAACGTTTACTAGAGGAAATTTATGCTATGAATGAAATGAAAGTGCTTGGTCTAAATGAAAACTCAATGAAGATAATTGGAGCCAAAATATGTTGTCTACCTTACTGAGAAAATAAAGCCTCAGGTAATATTGTAGGAATTGCTTCTTCATAAAGACACCTTAAATATACATGGATGAAATAATTAAAAAAAAAAAAATCAATCATGTAATTATAAAAATATTTATACATACTTATATTTAATGCTGTTTTGATGGCGTTTCAAATGAGCTATAAAAGCCGCATAAAGGATAAAAAGTTTCGAACAATAAAGACACATATACTTTGTGTCCTGTTTATGTTCAAATTTGTGATGATTACGTAATTCTTCAACACTGGTTAACTCCTAAAAATAAAAAGGAATTATTTATTTAAAATTAAAAAAAATCAAAAGGAATAAATTATAACATGTGATGGCATTATAAGTATTATTACTACCAAAAATAATATAAATATCCTCATGTACTGAAAAAATATCTTAGAGTGTCTCTAACTCCTTAATGAGGTAAAAAAAAACTTTGGCAAACGTCAAATCCATCAATTAAAAAATTGGAAAATAGTTAGTTTAAATAAAACATCAGAGAAATATACTAACCTCAGGAATAAAGGATTTCAAACAACACTGGATCAATACACCTGAAAATACTGTATTAAAATTAAAAGGAAGAGGATAAGAAGAAATGATGTTAGCAAAGATAGCTTAGCCTGCTCGGCCACCCCTCCCCAATAAATTGGAGTTAATAATGAACACTTCTATGATCAAGAGCTTCTGTTTATTTTCCAACTGTGAGAATATAAACTACTTTAAATTATGAAATCCTTCTCACTCATTATAAAAATACAAATATCACAACTGTGGTGATAGACTAATATATTGTTATGATTTTGAAATTCAAATTTATTTTGAATTAGAAAAGTGTGTAGTGCATTTGGCCTGATAAAATTTGTATTTAATTATCATTCTTTCTATTTCGATATACTTTATAGGACCATGAATGAACTAACGGATCCTTAGAAAATAAAATAAAATGAATTTCAAAATTAAAATGGTACTGATAACGTGGGCTGCAATAAAGGCCCATACTCCAAAAGTTACATTCGAATAATGAACATTCAAGTTTTTTAATGAGTTATGCATAATTTTCTATATTGTGTTTTTAAATATGGATTTTACATTGTTATATTATAATATATTATATCAAAGTTCTAAATATTGGGAAACTGTTCATTAACAGCCTGAAATTTGATTATAACATCCCTAGATTATATTCTTAAATTTTTTCCTGGTGCAGACATATCTTTCTATACCTTGTTATTTTTCAATTTATCTTTCATTTCCAATTTTTTAGAATCCACATCCTAGGTTAAAATGATGTAATTCCAACAAAATGTAAAACTAATAACTATATAAATAAACATATAAACATAAAGTTGTAAAATAAAATAGGCACAAAATAATGCAATGATTCCATCAATGAAATGGGTATTGCACAAAAACATACTTCTGAACAATCACAGCACAACCAGGTTTGTGGGTCGCAGCCTATTTCTTGATCGTCATCACAGTCTTCAGTCCTTTCATTTATAATAGTCTTTTGAGAAGATGATTCAGTCACGGTAAATTCATCTATAAAAAGTTTTTGTTTAATATGAATTGCAATAAATTGTTTAAATTTGAATAAGTTCCAAGATAAAAGGGAAATAAAAATTGATTTTTGTTAAATTCTGTTCATTAAATATAAATTTTGTTAAATATATTTCTCAACTGCATAATTTTTCTAATGATAAAGGAAAATTTTTGTTTAAATTTCTTCAAGAATAAAATCATAAAATAAAATGCAATAAAATATTATTACAGAAGACATCGAACACCACCTAACCTTACCAATCAATCAGTGTGGGCCTTAGACATTCTGCGACCAAAAGACAATGACATCATCACCCCTCCCCATAAAATATTAAATTTATTTCTTAAGCTGTTTAATATTTAAATTTTATTGGATTCAACATTTCGGTAATACAGTTGCTTCATTGGTAGGCTAAAATTAATTATTTTAATAGGTTTTATAACTTTTTTTATTCCTTACTATCTTGGCGAGCACCCCTAAAGATAGACCGGTACCCCCCAACGGGCGCCCCTGAGCAGTTGCACAGGTTGCGCCACACTAAGGCTAGCACTGCAATCAATAATTAATAACCATTAAGGTAGTTCACACAATCTCAGAAGATAAATGAGAAGCAACAGTTGAATGAAAAATTATAGAAAAAAGAGAAGAGTAAAATTTAAAAACTAAAATTAACGCAATCAGAGGAGAGCTACAAACTTGTTCAGTGAGCAACATCACCCAGATAATGAGTTCATTATATCAAACTAAGTAAATTAACACAGAACACTGATATATCACAGTATGACATACCCTATTAAATACATACTTAGGACCACCTTTCCTGGATTGCCTTCTTGGAATTGAGAGTAAGTCATTACCAAGGCCTGGATTTTTATGCAAATGCATATTTTGTTTGCGTTATTTTTTTAACCGCTGATCAAATATCTATAAGAATTAGTACACGGTGCTGCAATAAGTCAAATTTTATTTTGCATATTTGAAGATAAATGCATATAATTACATATTTTGATTAATTTAATGAAATAAATAATATATATAAATATATGTGTAAATGGATATTTATTTATATATACAAATTAAAATGTGATATTGAAGATGCAATTCAAGATTACAATCATAGATTTATGTTCAATGAACAAGATCTACCACATTTGTAGACTATATACCTACCTTCCACTATACCTTTAATAATTAATTATCTTTATAGATGATCTACAATTCCTGGAAATCCATTTCCTCTTCTTGTCCCACATAAGCATCATACTAACTTTCAATTTTAGTTTGCAACCTACTTTCTTAGCAAGAGATCATATTTCTGTTTATTTAAAATACCAAAAGTATCTTAATTTTCATCAATATTGAAATCTTGGATTGAACCTTAAAACAACAGGCATGAAAGTTTTTAAAATTGATGGAAAATCAGTAGTACTAGTCCAAGTTGGTGAAGCCTTAAATGAAAAAAAATAATTTAAATATGTTTCTATAAAAACTTCAGGTCTCACAATTCTGGAAGATAATAATAAAATTTTAAATAGCAAAGATTCATTTCTTTCCAGCAATATTTGACATCATTCCAGTAATTTTAAGTGGATATAAATTTGCCCCTATAAACTTGGCCTGTTGACGTGGAAGGATCATTTTCTAATTATAAAAATATTTTATAAAAGGTTAGGTTTCGCAGAAGCAAATTGCAAAGCTGACTAATTCAAATGTTTTATCTATTTTACATTATTTATTCCACGGGTTGCTAATACTATTATTGTTTCAACAAAGACTCATATTAGATTTTTATCCATTAACATACAAAATTTTAAAGTGTTTACATACTTACAGTTCCAATATTTGTCATATAACTTTTATAACTATGCTTATTTAATGATGTGTTAACACAATTATTGTTTTTTTCGTTTGTATATACTTTGTACTATTTCGATATTTAAATATTTTTAATGTAGTTCATGTTAGATTTTCGTTACCATTATAATGTATATATAACCTTATTAGCCGTATATGTTTAGTTATTTTCATTCTTTAGTTTAGATATTTAAAAAAACTGAAATTATTGTGATTTTCAATCTCTCCATAATTTCTTTTTGTTTCAAAACTTGTTCTAGGTACATCATTATATTTAAAAATGTTAATGATCAAGTAATTAGTAAGTTTAGTATATTTAGGGACCAGTTACTGCATTTTTCATGTTTTTTTACTGCATAAAAATCCATGCCTAGGTCATAACATTCAAAGGAGGCAGCTTATCCAGTGGCTGACCATGGGATGATTGCTCAGTTAATTTAACAATAATTACCAAAATACTCCTACTAAATGAGGTGGCCTGGACCATTCCTAACGGTCATCTGTTCCCCACTGAACTATAATGCAATCAAAAGTGAAGCAACATAATTAAAGGCTAACTACCATATCCCTTAACATCGACTATGATCATGCAAACAAGCGGTTTTCCATTCTATAATGATAAATAAACAGGCAAGTAACTAAGATAAGGCATACTCAACAGATTACATATTTCTTTTATTTCTGTCTAAGGAAATTCATAATTCTTTATATCACTAGTTCTCAAATTGTTTTTGCTGTGGCAACCATTTTGGTGTGAACAATTATCATAGCATCCGCCCTTATCAGACTAAAAAAAAAATGTGTGGCATCCTTGTTCGACTGCCAAATTTCATTATAAAGTTATCCTTAAAATGGTGATATAATTGAATCTGTACTTATTTGTGGTTAAATGTTTATAAACTAATTTTTTCCAGATATAATCTTAAATGTGATTGATTTTGATTTTAATTATTCTGCCAAAAAGTATTAATTTATTAATTTTTAGAATGTCAATTCATTAAATTAACGAATTGGGAGTTAAGTATAATTACTGTGGCATCCAGTTAGAGAAACACTGAGTTATTCACTTAAAAAAATATAAATCACAGGTTGCTATTATGAATTCTAATCCTAATTCTATGGTAATTGTAAAAATGATTGAACCAATATACATAATCCTATAAATATCAGTTTAACCATCTTCATCTTAAATATTACATTGGTGCTAATAACAATCACAATAATATTTATAGTGAAATGTTAGAAAGCATAAACAATTATAATTATAATAAAACTTGTTTATGGTTCATGAGATTTCAATTACTAAAGAAAAAAAACTAATACCTGACGGATGAAGTTTACTGTCATCAAGAGCTTCTTGTAAAGATATTTTGTCTTCATTACTGTTATTTATAAACGACTCTTTACAAAGAACATGTTCACCATTAATTTTCTCCTAAAATAAATTTAAAACTATCTAATTAATTTGCAACTAATCCCTCATTATGGTACATTACAGAATATTATATTAAACAGAGTACCAATACATCTTTAGTTTACCTCTTCTCTTATTTTACATATTTCTTCTTCACTACTTTCATTTTCAGAGAAAAGTATTCCTAAAGTGTTTTGTGCATTTTTTGTTTCTTCTAAAAATTGATCAAAAGAATCAAGTTTTGAACAGCATTCAATACATATAGTATTTGGCCAATTTGTTTTTTCACTTATCTAAAAATTTAAATTACGTATAAAATAATTAATATATACAGTAGAACCACAACAAAACATCAATCAGAAGTATTCAACACTCATCAGATAATTAGAGAGTTTATAAATTACCTGGAGGTTTAAACAATTTGCTATTTTTTTTTCAAGGGACAATTTCAGACCTTCTTCTCCATTTATTAATAAAAGGTTTTCTTTATTCAAGGCACAAAGCCGACATAATTGCGACTTCGCCATTTAAACTTCAGAATCATGAGGAGATTGACAAAATCTTACTCAGAATACTAACTAGACCTTAAGAGGGTACATTTTCAACAAATGCAGGGAGCATGTCATAAAGGGTAATTCATTGGTCTGTAATAGAAATAATGAGGGCTTCCTTTAAATTCAACTAATACTTGTAGAATATGGATACAATTATCCAAAATACCATTTCAAAAAAATAAATAAAACCAAACAAGTCAAGGAAGACTTTTTTATGATTAAATGAATGCCAAACTAAATGGAAATTACAATTTATGTCTTAGCGACAAATAATATGTTGTTTCGAAATCAAATGAAATTTTCAGATTTTATAATATCCATGTAAACCTATGTTGTGACGGTTCTCATGTCACAGAAGCTTATCAAACCAACGTAAAGTAACCAGTACATTCACAACCTCCTTTGTTTAAAAATCTTTCCTATGCTTTAGAAAAGAAAATTAGAATTTTGAAAATCTATATTTTTCAATGTAAAATTAAATTATTAAACTATTACACTTTCAATATAGTTCTTTTGTTATTATTTGAAGTAACGCCACATTAGGTGGGATCAAAACAAATAGAATACTTTAATTTTTGTAGATCTTGTAGTTTATCAGGAAAAATGTATTTGCAAATTGGAACAAATAGGATCAATGTTCAAAATTATGAAATTCGAATGAGCTGCAAGAAATAAATAATATTAGAGTGGGTAGGTATAAATCACTAACAGATTCAGTTTTAATTTAGGGGGGGGGCCTTCAGCCCGAAAGATTTTTTTTTTTGCATGTATATATTAGGATAAAATAGGTTCCTCTACTGGCTTGACGGACAGAAAAAGGCCGCAGGAAAAATAAAGTAAGTTTGGTTCGCTGCCGAAAATGTGCAGTCCTTCTCAGGTTCCCTTTGATCCGCCTTTTAAATCATCCCTCTTCAACTTTGTTACTCTTTATTCTAAAATTATCATTTCCGGTGACTTAAACACTAATTTACTTTCTGACTCCTCCGATAAATCATACCTCCAAAACCTTTTCTTCGCTCTTCATCTTTACATCGCTCCTTTTTCTCCCACTCACCATACCTCAAGGTCCGACACTTGGCTGGACATGTACATTATTGACTCCGCTCAGAACCTCCTTTCCTCTTTCCAATCACGTTTTCTTTTTATCCTCTCATGACCTAATCCAAATTTCATATAATATCCAAACTCCTCCGATCCCACCTAGAACCATAACTTTCCGTAACCTCGATGCCCTTACTCGGGAAAAATCCTACCCAGCCTGGAATCACTGGATTGGGATGGAATATATTTCGGTTTCTCTATTGATTCCATGGTTGACACCCTCTCCTCCAATATCTTTAATATCCTTGAAACCAATGCCCCCTCAAAACCTCTACCTTTCATAGACGTCCGGCTCCCTGGATGAGTCAGCAAATCAAGGATCTTTAGAAGAGACGTGACAATGTAAACAGGCTTGCTGACGACTATCAAGCGTTAAAGATTCTCCGTAACCTGACAAAAATCAGAATCCGACGAGCCAAACCCATCTATTTTCATGAAGCACTCTTTTCAGCTCCTGATTCCAAATTCAAATGGATACTCCTTCTTAAACTCCCCCCTCTGTGAACCTTCCAGATCTCCTCGCTTAGTAGTATTCCCAGTCTCACCTGATGCTCTACATTCATATTTTATTCCAGCTTCCTTTTTCACCCCACCATTAACATCCTGCATTCCTGTTGGAACATCGTTTAACGCAGACGATTTTTATTTTTCGAAAATTTCACCCACAGACTTCATATCCGCTTTGATGAATTCGCATTCTAATTCCATTGGTCCAGATGGCATTCCTGCAAAATTAATCAAATTACGCCTCCCTGAAATCCTCTCCGTTCTCCTTTTCATTTATAATTTCTCTCTTCAGAACTCCGTATTTCCTACCCGTCCGTCCTTTAAATTGAAATTCTAACCCTACTTCTCATGAAGATTTCCGTCCAATCTCAATCCTCTATAACCTTTCAAAACCCCTGGAAAGAATAGTGCAATCTCAAGTTTCCAATATCCTCGAACAGTCCAACCAACTTGGTTCGCACCAATCTGGTTTTAGACCAGGTTACTCCACACAATCCGTCCTAATAAAAATCATTAGTGATGTTCAATCCGCTCTAGATGACCAAAAACTAACTGTCCTCGTAATCCTAGACTTTTCCAAAGCCTTTGATACCAACAACCATTCCATTCTATTTTCCAAATTAAAATCATTAATCTTTTCTAACAGTTCTATCCTTTGGTTTCAATCTTTCCTTTCTCAACTCACCCAAGCAGTCGCTATCCCCAACCAACCTTTGTCTTGCTATCTTCCTCTGGCCTCAGGAGTGGCCCAGGGCTCTAGCATATCGCCTCTTCTTTTTAGTTCATACTTCATAAATCAATCCTTTACTGTTCCCATTACCTCTCTGCCGATGATTCCCAAATTTATCTTTCCTTCCCTCCCTCAGAGTTTTATGATGCGTTTGCCAAAATTCAAGAAGATTTAAATCGGATCGCTGCCTAAGCAAACTTAAATGGATTAAGATTAATCGCTGCCAAAACTCAAGCCATTGTCATTGGTTCCAAACCACTTCTCAGATCCAATACCAACATTCCTATCCTATATCTAAATGACCATCCCAGTAAAAACCTAGGCATTTTCAAAGACCAAACTCTCACCTGGAATCACCATATTCCTCACAACTCCCGAAGGTCAATTGGTACCTTGAAACTATTCCATCGCTTCCTCCATCTCCTACTCGTCCCACACATAGACTCCTAGTATATTCCCTCACCTTGATTATGTGTGAGTGGTGTACGGTGGCCTCTCGGCGGAACTTGGGGACAGACTGAAAAGAATTATGAATACCTTCGTTAGATTTGTTATTGTTATCCCGATACGTTCCCGTGTTTCTCACCACTATGTTCAGTTAGGGTGGCTCTTCCCCTCCTCCCGAAGGCAATATTTCCTAGGCACATTCCTTTACCAAATAATCAATAATAATCGTCCGTTCTACCCATACAATCTCCAACAATTGGAGTCATCGATTATCGTGACCGTCACCAGTGGATCCAACTGGGGGCGCGCTCCCCTCTCCTCTGGATGGTTGGGGAAAAGTTTTAAAAAGCAACAATTTAAATAAAAGAGAAATATAGGAAAAATTCATCCTCATAGACGAATTTCTAATGTAATATATATATATATAATATATATATATATATATATATATATATATATATATATATATATATATATATATAAGTTATTATAGTGACCAGCTCTAGTAATTTCTACCAGGAGGCGCGCTCTCCTCTGGATGGTAGAAAAATATTTCTGAAAAAAGTAACCAAAAAAACCAGCTATTTAAAGAAAAGAGAAATGTAGGAAAAATCATCCTCTAAGACGAATTTTCTAATGTGATTAATATCATCGTCCTAAGCTCGAAAATCCATTACTAGATCTTGGCTGCCTCAAGAGTTTTCCTCTCCTGAGCAGCCTCCACCAGTCCTGATTCCATGGATTCTGGCATCAGCATTTATTCCATTTTCCATCTCAGTTTCGGTCTGTCCACTTTTCTTTTTCCGACTGGTTCCATGCTCAGCAGCTTCTTTGGGTTTGGGGTCTCGTCCATCCGTGCGAGAACGTGTGTGAACTTGACCCTTCGATCACAGCCTTGCTACCCGAATGTAATTCACCACATTCGGCTCCTTATATACGTTAGCTAGTTCTTGGTTGCATCTAATTCTCCATTTACCAATCTCCTTAACTGGGCCAAATATCCTCCGAAGGAGTTTCTTTTCGAAAACTAGTATTTTAATTATCTGTTTAATGAAAAGAGAAATATAGGAAAAATTCATCCTCATAGACGAATTGTCTGCTGTAATATATAAAAAAAAACATTATCGTGACGAGCACTAGCGAATTCTGCAAAGGGGCGACCCTCCCCCTGGATGGTGGACAAAAAGTTCCAAAAATCAGCTACTCAAAGAAAATAGTGATGTAGTTTTTGGCCGCCGTGAGATGCCGAAGGCTTGTATTCCTGTCGCAGTTTCTTCCTATTGACTCCGAATTGAAATACATCTCTCCGGTGAAATACATGATGGAGGAAAATTTATTTAAACAAATATGAACGTCATTTATTCTTTCGAACAACCTTTTATTCGAGCACAAGAAAATACGGATTTTCTTCCGGACCCAGTTTTTATTCAGTTCCAATAGATCTGGAGGCATTGCAACCTCAAGCAACTATAGTCTCCTTGAAGAATCCATGCTGATTCATAATACTGGTCACGATCATAATTTGTACATTTCTCATTCAAAAGTGTTGTTTTTTTCTTACAATACTGGCTGGAAGCTCGCAAAAATTTCCAAAAAGCAGCTATTTAAAAAAAAAGGGAAATTCATTCTCATAGACGATGGATATCCTAATGAAATATAAAATAAAAATTATTATCGTGACCAGCACTGTTGAGTTTTGCCAGGGAGAGCGTCCTCCCTTAGCTGGTGGAAAAAAATTCGAAAAAAGTGACAAAATACAATAGCAATTCAGTTATTTACATGTCTAAATCCATATACAGGGTGTCCCATAAGTAGAGGGAAATATTTAAAGGAGGGATAGCTGAACTCAATAAATACAAAAAAGTGATTTTTCACGTAAGCCACGTTTTTTGTTGATTAGAAAGTGATAACAAAAAAAACCTATTTAATTTAAGTAATTAACGCTTACCTATAAACTAGACAAAATTTACTTTAAATCAAAATAGAGTTTGCTTTGTTAAAACCATTTAAAGGTGTCTTTTAAGCGGCTAAACTCATCTAAGGAGGGGGGAGGGAGGAAATGGGTAGTTGTGGGGGAAGCACCTGGTATAGAGGTGCGCCCCCTCTCCCCCGAGAAAATTCCTGGATCCGCCACTGATCAGTACCATTGTGAATCCTTTTGCACTGGCTATTTGATTCTTCTTTGTTAAGAAACTTATCCTGAAATAATAGCAAACATTGAAAGACGGATTGATTCAAAATAATCTTAAAGCGTTTGGCCCTTTCTTATAAACTATAGGCAGTCTTAGTTATTTACAATAATATTGTTCAGATAAATGACCTGACTTGTTATTGGACTGTACCAGAGCAATATTGGAGTGAAAGTTTGCAAATAAACAAACAAGACTTTCACTCCATGGTTAAGAAACTAATCTATTCTAGTAGATAATGTACTAAAAATACAGCCACTTAGTCATATATAAAGGTTGACTGCAAGGAAGACAACAGAAGTAGTAACCTTAAGAGATTAGGGAACATAGAGGGAAAATGAATCAGATACAATTATTAGGATTTGTACTTAGTTTTTCCGTAGCTAAAACTCAGTTTATGAACAGAAGATTAGAAGGACCTGTAGGATATCTATGCAGTAAAAGTAAGGATTGTCAAAATCGTTAGTTAGAGGGTATTAATCTGATTATAAAAAAAATTAGTTTACTAAGAGTAATGGTCTTGTCATTTGTTAGGTTGTCAATTGCCCCCTCCCAGGGACCATACACATCAAACAATAGGATTGCTTTCCTCTTCTTATAAATGGTGCAAACAAAAGTAAAATTATAAAAAAAGAAATGTATTTCAATTGTTTTCCACGTTCTTTGGTTTGAAAGTTTTTCCCAACCGAAATCCCAGAAAAATATGGTTTTCTCCAAAAATTAATTACCTGTAAATATGTGCTTCCCCTAAAAAATTCATCCCATAAAAATGTGCCTACCCTAAAAAAAAAAAAAAAATTGATGGTGAAACCTGAGCCAGGTAACCCTTATCTGGGCACACCTGATTTTTTATTCTTTCCTCTTGGTTATATAAAAATTCTGGCTTACACAAAATTTTAATTTACTGCTTCTCAGCTAGATATATCTATATATTTTAAGGGGTTTTGTCTAATAGGATGCACATTTTGGGAAGTCCCTACCTAAAAAAACTGTATAAAAGAGCAATTAAACTTATGACAAAGTTTCAACTCTTGATTGTGTCCCAGCTATTAACCATCTACTAATATAATATTAATTGGATAATTCAAGTAAAATAATGATCATTTAAACCATCCCAAAATATCAATAGGCATTTTTCTGAATTATCTAAATTTAAAGATAGTATTATGAGTTTCAGATACATAGAGAATATACACATTTATTAATACATACGAATTACCGAGAAGTGGTGAAGATAATGGCAGGAAAGTAGTAATTTAGTTGTGTCACCATAGCACATGTCACTTATTTTCTTTGTATTTTAGGAATAATTCACGAGCAATTTAACAATACTGGTTATTACTTCTCTTGGAAAAACGAAAATACTGAAAAATTAGAACATGACTGGCTTGGTGCACGAAATTGGTGTAGGCAAAGGTGTATGGATTCTGTATCTCTACAAACTTCATCAGAAAATGACTTCATTAAGAATAGAATTCTAGCAGGCAAGTTTTAATTTTCTAAAACTTTTGTTTTGAATTATAAAGAACAACACTGATATCATTTATCAAATAAATATTTAGAGAAATATAGTTGAATGGTAATATGCATTATTTTATGGTTAATTAATTTCAGTTTACTTTAAAATAGATTATTTTTGCATGATTTTATTTATTCTTATGGTAACTATTTGAAACCTATATTTGCATGATGTATCAAAAATGAGTTAGTGGGATGGTTTCATGTGCAGGTGCGGGGCCAAAACTACTATTTGATTAGTGGAAACGGACTTAATTTTATTGCCTCTTTTTTCATAAATGTCCTCACAAACAAAAATTCTAATTCTGGCCCTCTAGTTTACCCTGTAAAGTAAGAAAATACACTTAATATCAACAAAAATTAAAGGACTCAGCTGCTATATCTACCTTTTAGGGGTTTGACTTAACATGGCCAGATTCTAATTTGTTTGGACCACTATGAAAATTATGAGATTAGTAGTATATTTAAGTAAAAATTACAATATTATCTGTGTGTTAAATAAATAAACATTCATTCTTTTTTATTAATATCTTAAGATAAGATAAAGCACATATGGACTTCTGGACGCTTATGCGATTTCAAAGGCTGTGAAAGGGAAGATTTGCAGCCTCGGCGAATAAACGGATGGTTTTGGACTTCTCATCTTCAAAAGCTTCCACCTGCCACAAACAGGTCTCAAAATGACTGGAGCACCTCTGGAGGGTAAATAATTTAAAAACTATCAATTTGGTTATTTTTAAGAAATAGAAAATTCCATACTTCCACTTGTTTATTTTCATAAAATTATAACTTAGCTTCTCAATTTTGGCAAAATCCCTCTTGACAACAATACATTTTCTATTTTACAATGTTTTGCTTTTGCTGGATTTCCATCTGCCAAAATTAATTTTAACAGTGTGCGAATTATACACTAGACATAAAAAGCCTCAAAGAACACTCCTCTATCGTACTTTCTAACCACTTAATAAACCGAACATATGTTTCATCAGAATTTCGTTAAACATTATAGTATTTTTAAGGGGTAGTTTGTATACCAGAATACTTTTTTTTTTTAAATATAATAATATAATCTTTAACACTGGAAATACTCTATTAGTGAAAGCAACTTTAAGCGTTTTAGCTTGTAGTGTTAGTAGATAGAAGACTTTAAAAGGGCAGGTTCCACTTCCACTAATTATCACCCTATTATAGACTAATTAATAAACTTTATATTAAAGGATAAAACTGCCACAACCAGATAACAGAGAAAAAATACAAAATGGAGTTTCCGAAAATTGCATAGCAGTTCTTAACAATTTATATGGCGATGGAATACACTGGCATGATGTAGGTTGTTATCACAAAAAACCATTCGTCTGTGAAGAAAATAAAGCACTCCTAAATTATATTCAGTTAACATATGGTCAGGGTAATGTATAATTTATTGAATTACAAAATTATTGCAAATGTATATTACTTTTTAAATAAATAATAAAAATTATTATCCAAATAGTCAGTCTTCTGTTCTTATCTTATACTACAAATGAACCACCAACATTTTTAGTCTGACATGTACTATCTAAAATTTTAACCTCTCAACCTCCTTCATGATATGATAAAGTAGAAATAAGTCTAAAAGTATTACTAAAAAAATATATAAATAATATTAACATTAATTAATACCGTTTTTATAATTAATAAATAGCATAAATAGTAAAGTAATGAAAAATAAAATTAAGTTCAACATATTTATTTTAATTTATTGAACCACTAATATCAAATGAGGTAGTTTACTTTCGAAACTAGTTAGATTATTTTTTCATGATCCGTTGTTAAACGTTTTAATGTCATAAATGATCTGTTGCACGGATTTGTTTTGCCTTTGCTCACTTAGCCTCTTATATAAAGCTATTGATATTAACTCTATCAGTTAATTTTTTAAGAAATACAATGGCTTTGTACAAATGGACTTTATTATTAAAACCATACAACTTAAATCATCTGTAAAAAATAAAAATAGATATTTAATTGTTTCAAGGAATGCTTATTTAATAATTGATATGGTCAGTATTATGTTTATTCACAATTAAATTCATAAGAACACGATTTCACGCATACAGAAATAGCTATTTCACAACCTGTAATACACATTTAAATGGAATGTATAATTACCATAAAAGAACAATAAATTACACTTAAAATATACAACCATTAATAATATTAAAAGTCTTTAAGTTAATTTTTTTTTTTTCCCAATATATTCTGATACTTTGATGATAATCCTTAAATTAGTATTTTGAAGGTTGTACACGCAATTTTCGAGCCTGAAGTAAGTTGTAAGATCCGAAGACAGCATTTTTCTCCCAAATATAAGGAATATAGAATGCTCTTACCCACCTATTTGTCCTGAAACATAATTTGTTGTGTGAAAATTAAATTTTAATCTCAAAATATACTTGAGTCTCGCTGATTAAAATAATTAACTGTAACATATAAATAAAAAAATGTTTTACCAATTTTTTTAATCATAAATAAAGGATTTCCTTCAGCTTGATTTTATCTAAGTTTTCAACCTACGAGTTGAACTTTAACAAAAAACTTCACTGTACTTACATATTTTAATGTAAAAATCAAGAATTTCGAAAACAAGATAAATGCTTTCGAAAATGCTAATGTACAGAGCCAATTATTATTTTTAAGCCTTGCGTCCACAAGATCATTGGGATTGTAGTTCTGAAGATGGGAGTAAATATCCCGAAACGTAAACTTGTTGACATCTAACGTTGATAATACAAGAAATATATTCAATTGTTACTAATTGGAAGTAATTATTGCCAAATAACTAAGAATATTAGACAACTTCCCAGAAAAAAGAAAAAATAAGATTAAATAAAAGCAAATACAATAAGGATAAACAAATAATTAAAATACAAAAATTTATATAAAAATCAGTTATTTGTCTTATATTCTATTTGAACAATATTCACTAATTGCAAAGTATATAAACAATAATTCAAGCTATATATTTTTTATTCAAGAAAAATATAATGAATAAAATCAATTCATGACTTGGCATTCGTTTAACAGAGACATTATGGATGCTGCTCCTGGATTGGTACAAGTCATTGAGGTTTTATTTTACTTTTTTTTTGAAATATTTAATTGCATTAAACAATTAAAAAATCTTTTGATTCATAATTGATATATATTTTTTTAAATAAAAAAATTATTATTGAAAATATTAACCTAGTCCATGGGCACTTTATTATTACTAACCATAAATTGAGAAAAAAAGAAAAAGAAAAAAAAAAAAGAGGAAATAACACTTACTTTGAATTATCCAAAAATGGAATTACTTTTAAAAGAACCCACTTCTCAATCTGTGATGAATAGTTAGGTTCAAGATCCGTTGATTGTCCTGTATCCAAATCAACAAGAAAGTGGCAAGAAGTTATGTTCACCTAAACAAAATCCACAATATATTTTTAATTGTTAATAATTTTGAAATGAATTTTTATATCACAGTCTTTATTCTAGAAGTTTAAATTTCATAATATATATTTTTTCATTCATAACAATTATTCATGCCAGGAACAACAAATTATACTTAGGGGTAGTTTTAAAAAAAATTAAAAAAGGAATCTTAGTCTAATATTTTTACTTTTTTACCATGACTGGAAAAACGCATCTTTGGTCATTGATCTGTCTGTCTGTGTGACAGTGCCAAGATTAATTCTTAAATGGGTGGACCAATTTTATTGATTTTGTTTTTGTTTTGTAGGGTTTCGTCCTCCAAAGTCTGTATCATATCATATCAGGTAGCTTGCATGCAATAGGTGGAAAACTTTTTTTATATAGAATGTAGTACAAAAAAAGATGAAACAATGTTTAAAATATGTCAGTCTTGGGATGAAAACGTTTTTGTAAATAGCCAAATTTATTCCTGTTAATACTTCTCTCCTGTTAATGAAGCCCCTTTTAACACCATTAAAAAAGTTTCCAGCCTTTATTAGAAAAGGAATGACCTATTGGACTTTGCACACAAATTATTCAATATATGTTCCCATGGAAAATAGTTGACCATTTCTTTAGTCTTAAAATTAGTTAGTAAATTAATCTAAACAAATACATAGTTTTATTTTATAAGATCTTATACAAAGAATACATAATGTATTTATATAATTAGATAATTTACGTATCGTGAAGCCTCCTCTTTGTTTTCATCATTCATAAACTCGGGTATTGTTGAGGTAGCATCAAAACCTGAAGAATAATACATAGGAAGTTGCCCATTAAACTCTGATTTTATAAACAGCAATGTCCACCTAGGAAAGAAAATTATATATTTAATAAGAAACTTACTTAATATATCAAGTAGAATAGTCAATTCTTAGGTTCATATTTACTTATCATCTGGAAGAAAAAAAGACGATGGAAATCTATACCACTCTTTCCCAACACAAAGATTAAAATTGTTTAATGTAGGTAAGGTACCTTCAGCAGACATTTTGCTTAATTCCATATAAGTATCCATAGGTGCATGATAACCTAAGAAAAAAAAAATAAATAAAATAGCAGTAAAATAAAAATATATAAATATTAAAAAAAATAATAATATAACTTATGAGGTACTGTTTGTTTATAAATTCTCATAATAAAATTATACGATCTTTTAACTAGTCAGAAAATCCAATGGAAAAAGATCTACAAAACAGGTGAAACTAAGATAGGACTATATATAAATCCCGTAAATATAGTATATAAAAGAAAGATACCAATCACTGAATGAAATACTGATCACTGTTTCTCTAAAATAACAATGATTGAGCAGCCAAAATTTTGAATGGACATTTCACTTAACCGCTAGATGTGCTATAAGCTTGGGTTTGATTGTGATGTAATGAATATGCAATATCACATCCCAATAATGCAGGAAAATATGTTATTCAAACTCAACTCTTTGCTGTTTTTTATCTGAATTGTATTTGCAATGGCTATCAAACAAGCAAAGAGCAATCACTACAAGAGTGGACTGAATTTCAAAAGTCCATTTTTTTTTTTTTTCATATGGAAAGCTTTATAGCTATATATTTTTTGCTCATGCAACATCTGATTTAGTTGCATTTCAACCAAACAAAAATATGATGTATCCATAAACAATTGATTAACATAATTAAAACAGACATTTCTTTCTTTCAGTGGAATTACAATGAATGTCAGGTAATCGTGTTTATTATATTATCTCATTAAGTTGAAGACTTCATGAATGAAGACATGGGCAACAGCTAGTTAATCTATATAAAAGGAACATATAATGTAATTTATAAAGTCAATTTACTTTAAAGTAGGGTAAAATTATCAGTTTTCGGCATCCTTTGGCAGATATTTAAGAATATTAAGCTGTTGGATTGGTTTAGAATTGTTGAACGGTACTCTATTGAAGGATAAACTCCTTATATGGAAGCATATCCTCGCTTCATCATTTAGTTATTTTTAATGGTCAAAAAAGACACTGAAGGTAAGGTTCTCAACAGGAATAACCCAAATAGTGTTTGTCTTACATTTTTGGTATGGAAGAAGAAAGCTTTCTGATAGAATGACTGGATCTGTTGAAAATTGCAAAAGATAAAAAAATTCTTTTTCATGATTGCAGGACTTAGTAAATCTTGGCTGAAGGCATTTTTAAGCCATATATATTGCTGTGGACTATCCACTATTATTATATGTGTTTGGAAAGTGGATTATGGCAACACGGTTTCAAGCGGGATGACGCCAAGGAGTGTAGCTTGGGTAAGCATGGAAGCCATATGTGATGTACCTAATGTTAATACTTTAAATGTAACAAAGTGTTGTACCCATTATCATTTTTTTATTCTATGGATGAACCTCAGAACGAACTTAAAATATATTATAAACAAGTAAACAAGTTATTAAATGGAAGAAGGCACTGTTGATACTCTTCAACACCCCGGACAGATTTTCAATGAAAATAAGGCAAATTTCTTATTGGTTCTTAAAACGGGGAAAGTTTTTTATTATATGGATCAAAAAGTGTGTTAAGTACACCACGGAACAGCTATTACAGTGATATTTACCTTTTTCTGTTGGTGTTTCATAGTTAAAGTATCCCTATTTACATCTTTCAACAGTAATTGTAATATAATTCCTTAAAAATTGAGGTATTGGATGTTTGGAAACATTGAGGATGATGACTGAAATTTTTTTTTCATACAAGATACACATTTTAGAATATTTCTTAGATGAAAAGGATATCACGAAACCTGTTATCCTTTACGTCAAAGGGCAGCCAATTGACTTATTATAGCAGTGATTAGTACAAAACAAAAAAAAATATTGAGTGCCCTTCATCCCAAAGCAAGAAATATTCTGCAATCTTCAGATGCATCCAATCAAGTAAGGAAGGATAAATAAAGTTTCTATGTGAAAAAGTGAAATTATGGATGAATCATAACCAAAGAGCTCATGGCTTTTTCATTAGTCACCAACCAGATATTTTAAAAAATGAATTCAAAACATTTTGCCTATATTTATAGAATTTTCAGCACAGATGAAAATTGATTTAACTGTCATTAATGATTAACTGAAAAAATTAAATAGATATTTAAAATAATTTAAAAAGACAAATTTCTTTCTCATGTTTTGTTTCTGAACATTTTATAATTTGTTTACAATATTAATTTTCAAAATGACAGATATGAGTCAAAACAATTGAGACCCGCAAAAGGTACTTCTCTAACGTCAATTCATATCACATTCATATTTTCGAAGCACAAATTCAATTTGGAGGGACTACTGAGGCAAGCAATGAGCGATATAATACAAGTATAGGTATTATTGAAAATGGCACTCTGAGAAGAAAAGAAAAACTAACAATTCACCTTTATATAATGCGAAAATTCTGGTGACCCCAAGAAGAGAAGTGATAAATACTACAGGGAACACAATCAATGATGTATGATGTAGATAATGTTGACCAGTCCGAACAAACAGTCTAAAGTAGATTTTCTGTACTGCATCCAATGTGAGAGCTCCACAGAGACAGATAAGAGGATAAATTGGAAAAAGGAATCTTTCCTCCTATAACAAAATTCAACTTTATTATCAAGATCCTTAACATGTTACCTGCGGTTACAGTTCCCGGCATCCGATAGCTTTATATCAGATATAATGATTATTTATGTTTGTATCTATCTTTACATCTATCCAACTCCCATTCAAATATTTTTAAAAATGACCATTTTAGAGACTTTGTAAGATAGCCAAAATTCGAAACAATCAACTAAGTCGAGAAGAATATCGGAACCCGGAGACCATTACCGCAGCTAATGTGTTAAAACATAGGTGTTCATATATTATTCCTACTAGTAATAGGGTCTGAATAATATGCAGGAATGCGTATGGTTTGGAAATCTGATTGAATATAACAGTAATATATATATTTTTTATAAATATTTAATGTGCACATTTGTCTCTATGTATACAATAGAGATTAACATTAATTTCTTAAGTAATTAAAAATATATAAGTTAATCACTATATAAAATAATATGTGTTCTTATTTAATGGATCATTTGATAAACTGATTGAGAAATGTCCAAAATAGTTATATAAAAGAACATAATTAATAAATATTAAATATATCAACCCATTCCTCACTCACTTTATGTGGTTGGAAGATGAAAACAATCAGCCATAAGTAGAGAGGAAGTATCGATAATGAATAAGGCAAACAAGCTGGATTCCGCGCATTCACAGGAACAATGCGATTTGCTGTTAGCTAGAAAGTAGAATAAATAATAAGTGAAAAATTAGCTTTAATATAAAACAAATTTAAAAATAACCATATATCGATTACAAATAATATATTTCTACAGCAGAGTAGCAAAATTCTTGGTCATCAATTTTTCTGAGCATTAGGAAAGAAAGTATGTTTCATAAACCAAAATATAATACAATCATTATTACATCCTTACTTAGATACATTTAATTATAAACTATTATTAAAAATGCAGGTTTGTGGTAGGCATAATAATTGAATAATATATTACATTTAAATTTTTATTTATTTTTTAAAATGCTATATATAAACCGCATCAACTTACCAAGGTTAAAGGAGTTAATAAGGAACCAATAAAAATAAAATTGAAGTTTAAAAACCCATTCAGTAAGTAAAAGTACCACGGTTCCACACCATACAAATCTGGTCCTTTTGATGAAAATACGTTGTAAATTAACAAATTTAAGGGAGCAATCACAAGTTTTCCATAGTAGAGAGAATCAATTCTAACCATAGGGAGCTTAAAAATAAATAGTTAATCATTAGATTCATTAAAAAAGTAATATAATAATTCATAACACATTAAATAGCTACAATATAATTCCAGTACTAACCAAAATAATACAACATGAAAGCAAACACCATTTAATAAATTTTCCAACTTCTTTTCTATAAAAAAGCATGTCAATGGCTATTGGCACACTAAAAAAGAAAACAGAGATGATCAAAACTGCCGTGAAACAAGTGAATTATTTGAACATTGCATTAATAATAATACAATCGACCTGGACAATTTAGCCACTCCTTTTCTTCTTTCAACTGCTTTGTACACTAATTCTGTACAAAACCTCTTCAAACTATCATAAAATATTAATCTTGATCTCTTTTTTCACAATCTGAGAAAATATGGTGCTTAAGCTTATTTTAAGCTAAAATAACAAAAAATAAACCTGGCAAAGCTAACAGAAATGGAGCAATATTGCCAATCGTATTGAAACTATTATATAACAACAGAAAAAAAAATTCAATTATAAAAATATTTAATTGTAAAAAAAATAATGAAGAAATATTGAAATGATAAATAATAAAAAAAATTAAAATTCACATTGTGGTACAGTAATAGTTTATTACATTTTCATGAAAAAAGATTTGGGTCTAACAGAGATAACTCTCGAAACGCGTGGCATTGTTAATTTTCTTAACAAATACACAAACAACTATAGAAAAGAGCAATCCTGTATAATCTAAATTGAAAACTAGACAAGAAATGATGGTGTATTGCGATATAGTTTTGAATGTCATCTATGGGAATGACATCCAACTGGAGGGATTGTTTATGGCCACCTTATAACTGGTCCTGACATATAAGTTATAATATTCTCATTACATGGCATTCCACAGTATGTCTTTGTCATTAACAATGAAACTATCTTATTTTACCCAATCAAAGATGCAAAAGGCCAGCTCAGAAAAGCAGATATAGCAGTAAGAAAAACAGCCAACTCATACTTCCTATGGTACCATGCACCAATAGATAACATTGTCATATACCTAAAAAAAAAATAAAAATAATATAGTGTTACTTTCAGTAATTACAAAACAACACATGAGAAACTATTATTAGCAGCAAAATAAATGAGAAGAAAATTTCCATAAAATCACTTAACAACATTTTAATTGCTAGCTTTGCAATTTATTCATAAAGAATGATAAGCCATTCAAGTTTAGATGTATTAAAAAATGAGAAACTTGCATAGAAAATGAAGATGGAAGAAAAGCTGTAGATGAAGTAAACATTCCAGCACTAAATAGAAGAAATATCAAAGTCATTCTTCCAACATGAATTCCGAACTCTCGACATGTACTCCTATAAAAATTATGTTTATAATTGAAAATAATATTGACATTTTGAAAATCATAAAATAATTTTTCAAGGATATTCATTCAAATAGTTATACTGAAAACTTACTTATAAAAATAAACTTCACACGCTGAACAACATAGAGCAAGTAAGCACCTTTGAAAATAAAATACTATGAGCTTATCTGGTTTCAATAAGGCATTATAAATTAAAGCAGGAACCAGTTGAAATAATAGGTAAGTGTATGATCTTAATGAGTATAATGGACTATATTCCCAAGTCTGTAATCCTTTTCCGTACATCAAGAAATGAGACTAAAATAAAAAACACAATAATAGAATGAAGGTACAGAACATAGAAAATAAAATAGCTTGGTCTTCTAATGACTATATGTTGAAAATGTTCTAGTAATACTGATATAAGAAATATAAATTTCATGACAAATAAAAGGGTTGGGGTGTTCAGTCAATGGAAGAACAAAGTAAAAATAATTGAGTGGTCGTTACAAAGAGAAATATGTTCGTTAGTTTATTTATGCTCAGAGTTAAATTTGAGAGTTGAGAGGTATTTAAATTCAGACACTAACATGGGCTACTGACAATAGTTACTGATATCAAAGGCGTACGCAGGCAGCTTTCATATTAGAGGGAGTAAGACTGAATGAAGGAAAGTCCTGAGATTTTAGTATTATAGATTTTGAAATCATTTATCTATCTGAGTAAATAAATGATTTCAAAATCTATAGTACTATACTAAGCTGATATTACAATTCATAAATATTTTTCTTGGATTAGTGGCAAACCTTTTGTATTATATTATGTTTTATTTTATTTCTAATTATTTGGAGAAAAGGGCAATAGTCCCCCAGTTCTTCTCTGCGTATGCCCATGACTGATATGTTTAGACGTGTTTTCCATCTCCAATTAACAAATATAAATATGATATTGTCTGATTTTTGTTCACTATGAAGCCAATCAGCTAAGCAGATCAAGGAGATCAAGAAATACACTTTACAACTATTCAAAGGACTTAGCTGTTATATCAATATCATCAGAATATCCAGAATATAGCACTTTAACCGATATTGAATAAACTAAGTCAGTTGTTAGTATGCCTAAGCCTCTAACCACTTTCTCGAAGGCTAAATTGAAAATAGTTGATTTCAGTTTTCAAAGCATTCTTTATATACATAATTTTGAATTGTATCTGTAAAAATAAAGCCTATAAAGCTAAAAAATAACCATAATAATAAGCAGATAACCATTCAAATAAAATTAATGGAAACAGGTAGTGAGAAAGAGGACAAAAAATAGGCAAAACATGAAATATATAAAAAATTTTAAGTAGTAAAAAAATAAATAATTTACTGGTTCCCAATAGTTAAAAGTTTCATCACAATCAGAAATGTGACTCCAAATGGCAGCAACAATTCGAGCTGACAGTAATGCTTTGAAAGCAGTGTAGCCAGTTGGAAAACTCAAACCATATTCATTGGCATTGTTTGTATTTACAGCTTCACTCCTAAAATCCAAAATAAATAACACATAATATTCATTCCTTAGAAGAACTGAAATGTAATTAAATTTTGACTGTAGTACAATAGCATTCTTTGCAATAAAAGTTTAATAGCAATAAAATGGTAACTTTTCACAAGTGTCACTCCAACATGTTGGATGCGCAAAAGATCATAATGTACATGCAATTCTGGAAATGATCGAGTTCGTCCAAAAATAGATGGAGGCAACTAATTCTCTGAGCGAGGTCCTGCCCTTAACTGAAAGCTGATTAAAGTTCAATCTCAACTAATGAATAATCAGGTGTTTTAAAACAAAAATGAAAATAATCACAGTGATTAAGCATTTTTAATTAGCTACAATTAATGTAAAAGAGGAGAATACTTAAAAGAAACAATTTAACATTAAACTTTGCAATGAAATTTAATTAGGTGTAATATTTAAATTTTAAAGAAAAAATGTTGACCATCTTCAGAGCTAAAAATAGAATTGGTACCACTATACAAATGTCACTCCATCTTGTCCAGTGGGACGAAGATTAATGTGTTCACAATATCTCCCTTTATTTAGATCACTTAATTAATTCTTGGTGCCCAATAGGCCTTTAAGCCTTTGATTGCGGACGGGATACCTGCCTTCTGTTATGAGTTGGGTCACTGGTGCGGACGGAATACCTTCCTTCCCGCCATGGCCTGTCTCCACTTAAAGAGGTAGACGTATCTTATTTATATTTTATTTGCATGTTTTCTACATCAAATATTTACATATTAATAAGTTAATTTTATATATGTTTTTTAATTTAGGTTTTGAATGAATAATGATTTTGGTACACATGAATCTCTGTCTACTTAACAAATAAATGTTAGTTTCCTAAATGTTTTAGCATTAGATTTTTTCCCAATATACTCAGTGGAGTGAAAATACTAAGCATATAATACCTCACATTATATATATATATATATATATATATATAGGGTACAGTCACTTCCTTCTACTTTTGAATAAACTTGATTATTTTCAGAATTTCATTTATGGTGTGATCATGGATCTTGTGTCACCTAAGAAAGTGGAGTGACATTTGTACAGTAGTGCCAATGAATGACTAGGGTTCTATTAATATCCATGTACAACTGGAGTGCTATCTATATGTGATCATCTTAAAAATAAGTTAGGTAACTATATAGCAGTATCGTTGGGTTGACAGGTATGCCAAGATTATTCGATTACATAGTTCATAGAATTCTGATACTACAAGAGGAGAAATATCTATTCACAAAGGGTGATACTTTGCTAAGCGACAATTGTTGTGGAATCGAGAGATCCAACCATGTCTTTTTTTGGGTCCTCCCCTTCCTCACCGTTAAGGCTATACGGGGTTTTCCCGGGCCAGGGGGTGTGCGCAGGGACGCGAACTCGTGACTAGTTTTATAACATTTGTCATATATCAGGTTGCTGGGCAACGGTGGTGCTGTGCACAACACGTTAGCCCATTCGGCCACCCCGCTCACATCCAACCATGTTGAAGTTCTCTCAATAATCTACTTTAACAGAATGGTCATTTATGCCGAGAGGGAAGTATGGCTTTTGCGGGATAAGACCGCCTACCCATCAGATAAAATGAACAGAAACATCTAAATTAAGGACTACAATGAATTTTTCCCCAAAGATTAAGTGCCTAACGAGTGTAATGAAGGTATATGGTACTCCTTTCGGCTAATTTTCTACAATCATGGGAAAGACCATAAGAGACTCGGAGATCAAGAAATCAGGTGCATTACCAAATCACCTGGTACACGCTAATGACACTCCTCGGATACGCAGAAACAAAAACGGATGACATTGATATCGCAGAACCGTCATTAGAGACTGTTATGAGAGTTAACTTCGGTAAAACTAAGCTCCACAGTGTCTTATCAGGAAACAAATATAACAACAAGGTCAAGTCATTGATAAGGTTGAGGAGTCAATATACCTTGGATCATATGTGAATGAAATGGAGCAAAAACTAAACCGTTGATATTTTATGCTACAGAAACATCTCTGAAGCAATCTCATACTGAAAACCTCAAAAATCCGAAATTATTTCTTATCAGACCTGTCCTGATGTACAACATCAAAACATGAACCTTAACTAAAGTAGCTTTGATAACAGGAGTTCCCAGAAAGGTTTCATGGTGCAAGTTGCGCCAACAAAACTTTTGAGGAGAACACATTTTGAATTTTGTAGGGGAGCACATTTTGACTGACTTATGAATTTTCTAATTGAAAAATTTCAAATCAAAAGACAAATGGAAGCATTGAAAAAAGATAGCAGGATGTGTAATTTTATATAATTTACAAAATTTCAAATTATACTTCTGTTTGTGTGTCCAAAACCATAAGGATCTCCAAATCGACAAGATACTGTTTTATATTTACCACAAATTTCATTTCTGAATGTATGTTTTTCATTTTGCATATAGGACTTTTTAAAATTAGTTTGGTTGCATTTTACATAGAAATATTTGAACAAAGTTTAGAATAAAGTAAACAACAGATAAAGTCTAGTTGGTGATCAGTTATCAAAAGTATCTATAGAAACTCACAATATGCATTTGGTATAGAATAACATGTTACCTGTTTTGGAGATGTTTCCACTTGGGTCCATTTTTCCTTATGTTTGGAGAGCTAGGATTATTTCTTTGCCTAATAGAGTATGGCATAGTGTTTAAAACAATTTGTAGATGGTATACCGAAGAACACTTAAGTATTATGACTAGAGAGATGACAACATCTAACTTCTACATTTTTTATACATACAATATATGAGTGTTTAAAGACTCAACCATTTAGGAGCTCGAATTCGATAGGAACCATAGTACTTCAAAAAGTAAATTTGGTCTTAAAAGTTTATTTCAGTAAAGAAAAAGAACATCCCATCTGCAACATTACAAATGGACTATCAACTCCAACTAAGCAAACCGCAACCGACCATTTCCCATTATCAACAAAGCAACTTTTGATAAGAGTGAGACAACACGGGCATGCGCAGAACTCGTGAAACCTCCCAGCAGTCATCTTGAACTTGTCACAGTCACGCCTCTTTGTGATGGTAGTAGGTTATGCAACCTGTTAATAATAGGGCACAGTACAGTGCACCTTCAGAAATCATTCCTTGTCTGCTGCTATCTAGAATTGAGTTGTGAAACTAAAGCGATGAAAATCAAATCAAATACGAATGAACTAATATTTGTCAAGATTTTTCTTTGAACTACTTTCATAAAGTAATTAAAAGCTGTATATTTTTTCTTGGTATTTTTAATTTAAAAAATACAACATTCCTTCTGCTAGAATATTAAGCTTAAAATCGCGCGTTGAGGGAATTAAAATACAATTCATTTTATATATAATGAACTTAGGCTACAATAAGACCATCTAGTAAGTACATAATAATTGATTATTTTGTGATAAAGTTAGTTAGTTAAGGAACCAGTGAACTATACACTGGCGATATCAATTGTTGGTCACTAAAACTAAAACTCAAGGTAGTTCAATTTGTGATTGAATTTGATAGTAGGACTTTTATGGGAATTGAGTAATGTAGATTTTGTAGTTCATCTGTAGTTAAAGGACAATTAGAATGAAATTTTTATGACATTGACCCTGTACTTTTAGGTTTCCAACATTTATTATTAAAAAGTCTAAAATATTCTTCACTGACTTTAATGATATTGTGTTAATTATTTTTATTCTGATTCTTTTTTATTTAAAAAAATTTAATGGATAGACTATTTAGGGGAATTATAAAATACAGGAACACTGACAAACATCTTATGTTGGATCAGTTTGTCCAAGTGAAGAATAATCCCACAGTAAGTAACAACTCTATATCATTTGAAGTTTATTTCAGAGCGATACAATAGTTTAGATGTAGTGATCTTAATAGTCTATTGATTTGACGTATAAATATGTATTTATGTGCAAAATCCAGTAAAAGAACTTATATTGTAGTGGAATGTTTTATTACTATTTTTTGTTTGATAGTTTTCAGGCACAACTTTAATCTTTTTATCATGATTTCTTTAAATTTTTCTTTTCATTTACTATTTTTCCAGCCTAAAGCAGTTTTCTTTACTTGCATGGACAGTAGAATGATTCCTACTAGATTTACTAAAACAAATGTTGGAGATATGTTTGTTGGTAAAGATTTTTATTTTTTATGCTTAATATTTGATTTAATTGCATTTGCACGCCATTCTGCCTAATATGTACTATTTTTTGTAGAGTCTAAACTATAAATTTGTTTTTTATATTGATCTGCTGTGGTTGGTTGGTTGTTGTATAGTAAAAGCATAAAACCTGTTTGTTATCAACACTGTTAATTAAAATTATATATTATTAAATCTTCTGGTTGTGAATATTAAGAATCAGATAAAATTAAAAAGATGTAAAATGCACGTTACGGTTACAGTTGTTTACGGTTATTAAAGTTTAGTTATTTAAAGTTAGCACGTTAGGTAAAAGAGAAAGGAAAAATAAGAGGATAAAAAAGGTGGGGAGTGCTGTGTGAGAGGTTCAGAGATTTTTTAAGATTCCTTCTCAAGAGAGAAAACATATGATTTTGCAAAGCAGCCGGAGTTATTCCTGTTATGTTTAATTCTCTGATGTAAAAGGCACAACTCTCGAAGATATGGACCACTCTCCACAGTTCCGACAAATGAGTGGGTTTTCTTTCGTAATTAAGTGAAAGTGCGTAAGCCTGGTTTGACCTATTCTTAGTCGCATAAGGAAACATCCTCTGTGCGAATCTGTTGTGGTTATTCAAGCCAGATGGTCCAAACTTTTTCATGTTGAATTTCTGTTTGCAATTATATTGTTAGTACTTTGTAAATTTACATAATTTATATATATATATATATATATATATATATATATATATATATATATATAAGAGGACAGGATAGCCGAGTACGTTGGGGTGTGGGTCCAAGAGTGCCCGGTTCTGAACGTTCTGGGTTCAATTCTCACCTGGGTTGGTTACTTTTAATTTCTCGGTGGCCCCGGGAAATGGATCGTGACATTCTCACTCTGGCAAGTACGCAGTGGCAACCTTAAAGGATGATTGGGGTGATTAGTCAAATTAAAATGGCAAAAATAAATAATTTTATTTATTAAGGACAACTTCCTCAGATAGTAAATAAAATCATCAATCACTTTTCCTAATTACTGAGCAAATAAATAATCTTGAGAGTGTGGTTTAAGGCTCGTTATTTACTTTTTTATTGATTTGGACCACCTAAAAATAAGTTGGTGTTTGTTCACAATGCTGGTTGACAGATAGGTCAGAATCACATAGAATTCTTTAAACTATCTAGTGTTAATTTTTAAACTAGTTTAATCAGTCAGGCATTTACAAATAAATGGAGAAAAGAATCTGTTGTTTATCATACTCCTGGTAAGTTCAAATCTTTAAAGCTAAGGGAGAGATTATAGAAGTAGCAGATGTCAGCATACTGTTTTTTACTTTATCACATTTGTGCCAATTGAATGCTGTTTTTCATTGAAAACTTGTCTCTTGTCCGAAGTTAACAACCATTGTCTTGTAGGATGATGTATCTGATTATAGGGGCTCCAAAAATTTCTATAAAATTAAACTTTCTGATATCACTGTAACTAATAATGAATAATAACTGTTCTATTTTGTAAGAATAGTTGGTTCAGTTTGAATTATAAAAAATATTTTTTATAATTTAATATTTCTATTTGTATTCATAATTTACATAATTGCAAGCTGAATGTCCTTATAATATGATCACAAATTAAATTGGCCCTTTATTGAAAAAAAATTAAGAAGCCCTGCTATGAAGAATGTTACATTATAGGTTTAATTTTGAAATATGGTCATCATCATCATTAACTCTTCTATGTTAGTTCCACGCTCCTCTTCCTGTAATACGTCTGGCTTTCTGTCATGTTTTATCAATCAGGCCAAGGTCTTTTTCTGCAGGTTTGCTCTACATTTCTCTGAATCTTTCACTTCTTACTTCCTGGGAATTTCACTCTATAGCATTTTTTTGGTTTTACAGCTTTATAATTTCCTCTATCTAATCTCTAAGCTAATTGTTAGCTTTAATCCCAGTGTAAAATTGAGCAGTAGTGGTATTACAGTCCTCATAAAATTTATTCTACTGGTTATATTAAGAAACTTATGTAAATAATTCTTCATACATAAAATCATTATATTTTTTGGGGGAAGAAGATCATATAATGTGTTAATTACTCCAATGGTTTATTAGTTTACTTTTGTTAATTTATTGTACAACAAAATAACACATTTTTTTGTCTTTATGAATTTTTATAATATTCATGAAAATTTAATATATGTAAAAGTAAAAATATTAAAGAAATACCATGTACTTTCCTTATGTAATTTCGTTAATTTCAGTTCGTAATGCGGGGAATATTATTCCTCACTCTCAGCACTTTCTCGACGAGTACACCACCAATGAGCCTGCTGCTTTGGAACTGGGCTGTGTGGTTAATGACATAAGACATATTATTGTGTGTGGACATTCTGATTGTAAGGTAGTGGTCATAGAAGAAACATCTTAATAATCATTAGAAGGATATCAACTCTTTAATTTTTCATAAAATTTAATTATATTGTTAGATATAACTTAAAAAACATTACAAAATATTTGTTAATTGTTGAAGTTTACAAATGAAATTAAGAAAATATGATGGATGCGGTATTAATGCATGATAATGTACTTCCCTCTGGTAGTATTCCATTTTTTAAATTGTTATTATAAGATTTGGTACATATATCATTACTGGTTTAATTTTCTTCTAGGCTATGAATTTGCTCTACAAACTAAGAGATGAAAACTTTGCTAGTAAAGACAATAGAAGAATTTCTCCTTTACGTTCTTGGCTGTGTACTCATGCATCATCATCACTTGAGAAATTTCACCAACTTGAGGTAAATGCTCAATATTCAGTTCAAATTTAAATTATACAGATTTCTGATGATAATTGAATAATACAGACTTGCTTCTCTTGGGACCTTTAATAAAATTTTATTCCACTGTGTGGTTCTTGAATAGTGTCCATTCAACATTATTAAATAAATTGTATTGCAACTTAAAATATAGTAGCTATTGTTAACATCAGGATATGGCAGACCAAGGCTGAACTTATGAGGCACTAACTTGAAACTGATTCCCTCTTCTAGAATCTATAAAAGATAGTAGGATTAAAGGTTAGTGTAGGTTATTCAAAATGAATTTACGAATACACATTTATTTATCAATTCTTTTTTTTATTCAAATCACTTCCAACAAATCACAATTATTGGGAAAATGAAAATAAATATGCCAGTTATAGTTCTATTGTTGGTCAAATCAATTTAATCTGCCGAGAGGGAATAATTTCTTTCACTCTTACAGTTGCTCTCATTTCCCTGATGCCATATTCTTGTTGGCGAGCTATAGTCAAAGAGATCTGTACTGAAAATCTATCAACTTTATATATATAATCTATCAACTTTCAAATATATATTCATTGAATATAACTGTTTTTTTCTTTACAGTATGGTATATCTTCAAAATATTTTTGTTTTTTCATGTTTACAGATTTGTGGCTATCACAATCCATTAATCTTTCAATCCGAAACTGTTTTGAGGAAAATTGTAGCTTACATTGACCCAGATGATGACTTTTGTATTGAAGATAAATTATCACAAGTAATAATTTTTTATTTCTTTAACCATTACATTAATTGTTTGATAACAATAATGACAGGATAGCTTAATATTATCTTTTTTTTTTTCAATGTTTTTCTTCAACGTATGATTATAGTCACCAATATTATTGATTTTTCGTTGTGATATGAACATAAAGCAAGACTTTTCAGTTGGTAACGCATATATATTTTCCGTATATTTTCAGTTTGTGAGAAATTATTTTGAAACTAGTATTAATATCTATTCATTCAATCAAAATTTTATGTAGAATAAAATCAAATTACTATTTTACATTCAAGAATTTTTAGAAAATATTTCAGAAAATAATATCAAACAAGAATAATTAAGAGCTCTTCAGATTGTAAACCTAAAAAAAAACCAAAAAACATTCAAATACTAACAACTTACTACATATTAACATACTTATGTATTAAGGTATTAATTATATATAATCTTAATACTTATATATTATCTTATTACATACATATTAATGTATTATTTTATTTTCCTTTCTGTTTTGATTTTTTTTTGTTCTAAATCATTGATTTTCAAATCAAGAATCCCATGGATTTATAAAATTATAAGACAGGTGAATCCAATGAAAACATTTTATAATACTTTTATAGCTACTTTAACCATAATAGATGTATATATTGCTCAGTTATCAGTAGATATTCTGCAATAACTAAGTTCTACAAAAAACTTTTTAAAGTTATTTCATTGAAGAAACACATTCATTGCAGCTACTTAAAATTAATGTTTGGGCTTCAATCAAAATAATTAAACTAGCACAGACACTTTTCTTTGAGATAATTTTAGTAACAACTTTCATCACCAGGGGTTATCAGCTTCGGTTTATTTATAATTTTTTTTCCCAACAACTGAGTAATAACAAAGTACTCCATTACAACCTACTGAGGTAATTAACTCATAATGAATTTTATTTTACTCGCTTTTTACCTACATAAATATAAGTGACTAAATTGTATATATTAAAATAAATTGTATATATTAATTGTGCACTATTTCATAAATTGAACCAAACTCAATTATTTCCAACTGTGGAACGGTCCGAACTGAATATGTATATGCCATGTTTTACTAATTTGCATATGAGAAGTTTGTCGCTTTTGTTTATTCTTTATTAATATAATAATTAAACTGGTTTTATTATTTAAAAGTAATAATAATAAAACTGTTTTTATTATCTAAAAATAATTGTAATTTCTCACACTGCTCAGCGATAGAAGAGGAAACGATAAAGAAGAAGTAATAATAATAAACTTGTTTAGTAAATCAAAGTATCAATATATAATTAAGCATGTATTATTATTACCTTAATGAATGCTTTATCTTGAGCATCAAATTTTCATCTGCTTCAAGTTTAAATTCTACTTTAGTTGTCTCAACAGTAATGACTTGTTTTTTTCTTCTTAAAGGTTAATTGTCTACAACAAATGGCCAACATAGCCAGCTATGGATTTTTAAAAAGAAGACTTGAGAGGCACCAACTTCACATTCATGCCTTGTGGTTTGATATCTATACTGGAAATATTTACTATTTTAGTCGTCAGAATAAAAGATTTATTGATATAAACGAAAAAACTGTTGAAATGCTTTCAAATGAAGTTAAAAAATATTATTCATGATGTCCATGTACCTAAATTTAACTTTTTAGAGGTCATTAACGATTTACTTACTTTATTTAGTAAAAATTGTTTATATCACTGTTACTTAAGGAAGTTAAAGTGCAATTTGTTAATATTGGAAACATTCCTTATTAAGGTATAGACATGAAAGACATGACATTTTATAAGCTTATTGTTAAGTTAATGTTAATATTGTCCAGTTGCCATTTTCATTCCTGTTGCTATTTTGATCTGTGATATTTGTTTGATTTTTCAGATGTTTAGTTTTTAACTTATTTATCAACATGACATAAATTTTGTTTTAGTGATTGTTAATTTTTTTTAAAGATTTAATTACTTTAAGTAAATCTTGTTATAATAAAAGTTTTTATATATTTTATTTGTAGAAAAGTTTTTTTTTTTACTATGATCTTGACCTTATTTTCTATTCTTAATAGCATAATATCACTATTAAATTGATTTTAGATGTCTCAGTTTTTAATGAGATAAACTGTGAGATTTTATTCAGTATTTCATGCCAAATCTTCAGGGCTCTAAGTACTAGTTTAATAAAACTAAAATTAATCTAATGAATGAAAATAAAAGCTAATATATATATTTGCTGTTTAACTGTGCAATAAAAAACATTGTGTATAAAATTGGTATAGCTGCATTGAAGGTATATATGATCATCCAAGACAACCTATAAATCTAATTAATAAGTATAGAATAGATTATGGCCACCGTGGTTGACTTAAAAATTTTTAGAATGTTTTTGTATATTTTTTCACATTCTTTTTATTAGGTTTTCTGGCCATTTTTTATTCAAACAGCTCTTCAGTTGTCCTTAAAAAGTTGATTGAATTCCTTTTTTTAGATCTCTATTGCTTATGAAAAAATTATGAGGATTTTTCCCAAAAGTAGTAATGATTCTTCTTTGAAAAAAATCCTCAAGTAGCCTAGAAATCAAATCTATTTTTATCACGGCGAAACCTCCCACTGTACCATAGAATAGGCCATTGAAGACTTGCATTTTCTGTAATATTTTTAAGGAAAGTGGTAGTGAGTTGAGAGTTCTAATCATTGGGGTGAAGGGAATACTTGGAATAGGAAGGATTCAAGAAAATACTGATATCAGTTTTGCTTTATCTCAGATTAGGAGTCCAAAATATTAACTACTCAAAATGGCATTTAAACAAAGGAAGGCTATAAAAAAATATACGATTTTCTCTTAATGGTAGAAGAGAGGAAAAACAAGGGCCTACCATATTTCTTAGCATTTGGTCGATGAAATTGCTGAGAGAAGATACATTTTAATTGAAACACAAATTTATAATTTTTACAATTCGTTTAATTCGAAAACAATACATAATACTGAAGAAATAACTTATAAATTATATGATGGCTATATCATAAGTTTTACATTTCTATACTTTATAGTATTAGATATTTCTAATGTTTGCTTGAAATTACATAGTTTAATAATTAGATTAATAAATAGGTCGTCCTTGCATTAATAATTTAAAATATATTTCATTAATGTTTTTATAACAAAAATATATAACATCACTAATTATCAAGTATTTACAAATAAATTATAATTAATTTTGGGTTGTCAGGGGTCACCAAGCATACTGATTAATATTTCATAAATTACATCAAGTTCAAGCATTCTAGTACAAGGGTTATCATTATAGAAGAAAGATCACATAATTTTTAAGATGTTTTATTCAATTCTTGAAGGAAAAATAATAATAATAATAATAATAAAAAAATGGATTTCTAGACAAACTTAAATGACACTTTAAATTTCAAAACCATTACTTCATGTCATAAAATAAAGCATAACATTAAGTCTTATATAATAAAAGGTTCAGGGAATTTATTCTGTTGGTTTGAAATAATAATACTGCTCAGTAATGAAAGGCTAGGTGTTTATGGAGTTTCCCATTCACCACTGCTTAGCCGATAGTCCGAACTGTCCAAGAATCTCCTGTCAAAGGACCTGAGGCAAAAAGAAAAAAAAAGTCTAGATAATATTAATTAATTGCACATTATTTATGATGATGATTTATGAAAGTTTATTTTAGAATCATCCATAGGTCTCAACTTGGTTTTTAGTTGACATTATGGATGATTCAAAATTAAATCTTACAAGTGCTTGTTTGAAAAGCTTCTTTATAAATGCTTGTAAAAAAAATAAGTCAGTAACAGGTACATCAAATAAAGAATGTTATACTTTAACACATTCGTATTCTCAGATTACATTTTAAAAAATGTACAATATAATTTTGCAACATATAACTGAATCGAAGTTATGATTTAAATTTCTATTGATGATATAGATTTAGAGAATACAGCGTGTCAAAACAGATAACTAAGAGATTTTCTAATATAAACAATTTATTAATATTAAATTGCAATAAATAAAAAAAAAGTACATTAATTAATTAATAGTTAGAATATAATTGGAAGATTTAAAAAATTATATATGTGGTTTCTAAAATACCACAAATAACTAACCAGTCAACATTGCACTAATCCAGGCATCATCAAGACGGTGAAAGATAAAAATTCCATAAACACAAACAAAATAATGTACATTTAACATCAACATCTAAAAAAGACCCACCAATTGACTTTGTATTTGAAGTGCAGTCTCTAGTCAGCATGTAAGCAGTCTTATCTTTTTGATGACTAACTGTTACTGTTGAAATAAACTAGTCCAGCAAGTGGGCCTTTTGGTCCTTTATGCTAACCCCTGATTGCTACCTAGAGGTTATCACCATCTACTAAATAAAGAGGGAGCCAAAACTTATTTTTCGGGGATGTCGAGAAATAAATATCTAGCTGACCATTACTCACAAATTTTGATTAAATTTTAATTCAAAGATTCATTTAATTGATCAGCAACTATTTTGGTTGTATCACTTATGACCTGCTAGCAAAGGTGGATAAACGGGAGGGGAAGGCTTTCCTTTCCGGCTGAAGTCTCCTTTCAAAATGGCGAAACATAACCATTTCTTATGAAAAATATAAAAAAATTATCTCTAAAAGTGTGATTGCATTTAATAGAACTTCAAGAATTATTTAAACACCATTTCATATAGGTATTTAGTATCTTTCTTCTTCTTCAAAATTAATAAGCGTTACATGTATATAAAAAAAAGTGTTTTGGTCTGAAGCTCCATCCTCCTCCAAAAATAAAATCCTGGATCGCTAGTGTATAGAATTCGAACTTGCTATACAGAACACTTCCTTCCTACATAAAAACATTCAAAAATTCACTTGGGCACAAATGACACGAAATTTTAGATCTATGATTGACTTCATTACAACGAGACAAACTAGCTCCATTAAATTCCACAACGTTTGGGTGCGTAGAGGAGCTGAATGTGGCTTAGCTCATTTTCTTGTTAAAGGGAAAACTGAGTGGCTATGGAGAAAAAAAATTCATAAAAAAAATCAGGAACAAAAATTATTAGTACAGAAAATATGTATAATTAAGCTATTGCAGGAGGAAAGCATATGTTGGTTACATGAAAGAAGAATGGAACAGGAACTTGAGGAAAACTTTGATGGTAAAGCTGAAGAAATACATAAATACGTTATAGCAATGGTCAACAAAATAGTCAGTGAACTTCTAGGAGAAGAAAATTTCCAAAAGAAAAATACCAACTATTGGATAAACGAGGAGATAAAACTTCTGATAAACGAGAAGAAAAAAGTGTATTTCCAATGGCTATCTAAAAAGGACAGTGTAAGTCGAACAAAGTATGTCTACTTGAAGAGAACCCTCTTCAATTGAAGTTCTTGAAATGCATAACTAGAATATAGGAAATCCACAGAAACATGCAATGTCCTAATAACATTAAGGGAACCAATATACAACTAATAGATATTCGGGAATGGCAGGAACACTTTGAAAAACTGTTAAAAGAAGACCGAAAAAAGGATTTTAAAGAGGAAACTACTCCATCACTAAGACACAATATGGCAAATATCCACCAAAGATGTAAAATAAGACTTAAAATCTGGTAAAAATGGAAAAGCTCCAGGACCTGGTGGAATACCTCTGAAACTCCTAAAATATGGTGTTGAAAAATTGGCAATAATTCTCACAGAATTTTAATTTTAAATATCTAGGATCAATATTTAATAGAGAAGGCACATCCACCAATGATATGGACAGAAGAATTGGTGAAGGAAGAAAGGTCACAGCAATACTGGACAGTATCCTTTGGAGCTGGGATATACATCCCAGTGTAAAGAGGTTAATACGCAAGGCTATATTCCAGCCAATAATGACATATGTCTCGGAGACTTGGGTCATCACTGCAAGACACCGAAACAGACTGCTAGCAGTAGAGATGGACTTTTGGAAAAGAGCAGCAAGAAAATCCAGAAGGGAAAGGATCAAAACTGGAAGAATTCTGAAAATGATGGAGGTGGAAAAAAAAACATTTTAGCAAATATTAAAAAGAAAAGGTTATGCTGGTTTGGACATCTGAAAAGAATGACGACTGAAAGATTGCCAAAGAAGTGTATGGAATTGGAAGTAGAAGGGAGGACGAAAAAGGGAAGACCAAGGGTAAAATGGAAAGACGTGGTGGAAGAAAGCCTGGTGGGTCATGACGTCATAGAAGAACAAGCCTTGGATAGAGAAGAATGGAAAAATATCTTAAAGAATATTTAGGCCAAGGACAACCACAGTAGTGGAAAAGTCCTAAAAAAAAAGAAAAGAAATATATTCGATACAATGAAGGTTTGGCAATAAGGTACGTTTACAATTCTAGGGTTAAAAAGTAAATTCACACAATAAAACTTCCTGATTACCTATACGGCATCGTGTGGCGTTTTCCAATATTCTTGAGGAATTCTCTGTTCTGTTCTGCTTGGCCACCTTGTTTCTGTAACCTCCTGCGTGCTATTTCAAGAAGAAGTCTGTTTCTTAGCACTTCTATTGGATTAGCTACAGACAAGGAAGGTCCAGTCCTCTTTCCACGCCAGTCATCATCCTGCATCACAAAGTTTGTATTAAACATTATAGTATAAAACAAAAAAAAAAAAAAAAAAAAAAAAAAAAATATATATATATATATATATATATATATATATATATATATATTTATGCAAGATACATAGTTATTTCAAAGCTAAAGTTAATATTAATCAACCTGAAAAAGAGGCAAACATGTATGTATTTAAAATGAAACAATCAGCATTGTTTTAAAATAGAATTTGAAAGTATAATCTGTGGAGGGTCGAGGAGCAAGATCAACAAGAATATTACAACGGTTGATTAGCGGCTCATCGGGAGCGATCTGGGTGAAACTTGTTGCTATTCAAGAGCGGAGCGTAGTCGACAGGTGTCCGAGCTGGGAGCCATCCATCACTGCTCCTTGTTAACTTGAGGATGGTCAACTGCCACACCGATCCACCATTTGTTATCCTGCCATAGTATCTAGTTTGTCTTTAATTCATTCAATTAACCTAACAACCCTCCTGGCTGGCATTTGCATAAGTTCCAATCGAAACTATTATTGCCTATTACAATTATTATTATTATACTATTACAATGCCTGACAACTTATAACCAATTTATAACCATTTAGGAAAGAAGGATATGATTATTGAAGGGATATATAATGAAAGAAGAAAAATACTTGTGGCGGCCGTAGTATTTAACTTGACGTGATATTATGAAATGAAATTTTATAAGGAGATGCCGAAAATAAATTTTTATTTTACAAAATCGATCAATTTTTTTTGCTGTCGTTTCTAGTACAATAGAAATCTCATCCATATAAGCGTAGAGAAAGGGGAAATAAGAGAGGTGAGAAAAAGCTGGGGATGTTACGACATGCAGATGTGCGTTTAGGAAGGGATGAAGAGAGTCGCAGAACGGCCTTAAGGATGGATGCACATTAATAATCTTTCTAGAGAGTGGAGTTTGATCAAATAGGATTTTTAAAAACAGAGAAGAAGTTCCACCAAGGCTACTGGTATAACCTTGTGTGGAGATACCGGAATGAGGAGAACCGCTCTAATTCAAACTTTTTTCGTGTGAGCCTCCCCTCTTTCCCGAAAAAATAAACACTTTTATTTTTTCTACTTGGGCACAATTTAACCTGCGACATTGTTTTTACTCAATGTTAAACATACTAATCAGTCCATAATTAGGCTTACAAAAATTTAGTATATAATGCTTAAAAGATCATTTAATTTTCTTTTGGTTGATATGTCTATGAACTATGCCACCATTCCCCCATAACTTCTGCGTATCAATGCGTTGCATTGGAGTTATTTAATATGATGACGTAAATGTCCGAAGGGTTGAAGCGAAGGTGGAAAGATCGCGTTTAGGCTTTTTTGAGGGGATTGGGTTTGGACGACGCACAGTGGTTCAGAGGCTCAGAGGTTCAGAGTTCAGAAATTTTAAAAATGAAAGTATTTCAATCACACTTTTTATGCTATCTTTCCTTGATAACAAATATTAAAAAGTTTAAATTTCACAATAATTTTATCTCAGTGGTGTCTAATGTGTGTCGAATTAAAAAAAAAATGTTTTTGTAAAAATTTATTTTCTTAGCCTAAAAGATAATTTATTTAGTATTTGTTTTAAATTTTAGTAACCCATTAAGCAAATGTTTTATCTTAATTTTTACAGTTTGAAATTGGTTCTCAAATCTTATAACTGTTAGGGTTTTAAAATTATTGGAGAATGTAAAACCTATACTATCCTCTCCGCAGTCGCCTTTATCCTCATAACAACTTGCTTGGAAATGCAATAAATTTGGAAGAATAAATAAATAATAAAAATAAAAACACAATTCAAACCTATGTAATTTTTTTAAAATAATTATTTTCAGAAAATAATCTGGTAAAAACATCATAAAACACAACAATATTAAAATTAAAAAAATAGTAATATATATTCATCAGACAATATCGATTTTTAAAAACAAAATAATATTTATGCTTAAACCTTTAGTTTCATTTTTGTAAATATTATAAAAATATATATATTTAAACATTTATTAAGCCAAATTTTGTTTTAATCTTTCTAACCTTCAATATTTTCGCTCAATAATGTTAACTTGAATTATTAAATTTATTTTTATTCAGGTATTTTTAAAATTTAAAACATACTACGGTCATAATAACGAAAATTCTTGAAGCTATCGATTTACTTTTTGTTTCATTCGATTCAGGATAATAAAATACATATAAATTGACTCCTATTCCAGTTTTATAGTCTTATTTCTAAGGTGGGCGAAGTGTTTTTCCAATAATGAGGTATTTGAACCACTGTGCGGCGGCCGTTGGATTGAAGTATGCATCTAGCTATTGCTATTGTCGGCATCGAACCTCCGGATTCGCTAAATCATTTGTTATTATTATTAGTTTCTTAATTTAAAGCCCGTCTTCATTGTTTTTTACTTTCCTACCTATACTAGGTAAGGAAAGTATTGCAATCGGGTCAAATTTCCGACATGCGGTTTTCGACGGATCTATACGTTTCACAGCCCCCCGAGTCCGAAAAACACATTTTCAGCCATTGGTATGTCTGTCTGTCTGTGCCAAGATTTTCTCGGGAACTACTGAACCGATTTTGTAGCTTCTTTTTTTATTTTGTACGGTTTTGACTACTGATGCCTGTGACAGAAATTCGTTGCTCCATGCGCAATAAATGAAAAACATGTTTTTCTATAGACTGTAGCGCGAAAACGGCTATAACGATTTTGATGAAACCTTTCTATGATGCTCTAATCATTGTCCTTTCAATTTTCGTATATAGACTAAATTCCCGAAAACAATCAGGAAAAAAAGTTATAAAGAAAAGAAAAATGTTATGGGGCCTGACTCTCTAAGTATATATTATACGGTAAAATTTATAATAAAACTTTTGAAAGGTAATTAAATTACCAACAAAACAAAAAAGAAATCATCAGAATCGAACCAATATTAGCCGTTTATCCTATCGTTTAAAAGGTAATGAAATTCCCTACAAAGCCATATAAAAATCGTTCATTTTGAACAACTATTAACCAAGTTACAGCTATTCAATTTCCAATGAAAGATTAGGATTTTACTGTTGCCCGCATCACACAATCTTCACTATTTCCTCTACTTTTAATAGAAATTATTGTTTGACAATACTAAGCTATAGCAAAAAGTATTTGATCAGCAACATTAGTGAGTATTGAAATTTTTACACTGATCTACCTTAAGCCGGTTTCATTGATTTAGTTTATCTAATAAATTGTACTCAAATCTTTTGTTTGATAAATTTTCAGGAAAATAAATGTAGTTCAATTCTTTTTTGTTTCTTCATGAACATATGTAAATATATAAAAACTTTTCTGAAATAGGTAGGAAAGTCGTGTGAGTGGACACACCAGATTTTTTTTTTCATTTCATTAAATGTTGCTTCAGTTCTTGCATCACATCTTCGGGAAAACGGTCACTGGGTCATGCTGTCAACAATGGATCATAGTTATAGAGTTTACTATTAGAGGTTCTTTTCTTGAACACCATTCGGATCACCCTCACCGCCTTTATTATCTGTACGGTTAACTACTAATTATATAAAAAGGAAATAAATATAATAGTAAATAAATGAGTGAATAAATAAAAGTTAACTAAACAAGAAAAAAAAAGTTAGCATGCATTGGTACCTGTAGAAGGGGAGAGTAGAGGTGGGAAGAGCTGCTTTGTGACCAGTCGCTGGAGGCTGCTACCAGGGCGAGAGCAGCGAGCAGCCAGGCTAGTAACACCTTCACCCACATGCTCCTGTCGTCTGCAACAAAGCAGAACATATCTTTAGTTTACATTGCATCGTATGATTTATACAGAGGCTGAGATTATGAGGTAAAACAGAAAAAAACTCAATGGAAGGTATCAAAATCTTCCTTCTAGCAAATTAATTGCGTCATTAGCGACCCATTTTTATTGTTGTAACAATTAGTTATTTGGAGCAGAACAACCTATATTAGAAAACGATAACACACTTACATACGATGTATACCATAGGTGAGGAACCGCGGCCTCGTAGGATACATGTAGGCTCTGTGACGTAGTTGCGGCAGCCATACGTTTTTGTACGATATTTATTAGTCTGGAGTTAGAATTAATTAATATATTATTATTATTTAAGTAACGAAAATTTTGAAATGAAGTTCAATGTATGTATGTGGGTCTGTATATTTAGTGATAAATAAGAATAGCAATGGTAAAATATAAATAATTATTGCTGCCTCCATTAGCACTGCCTACCATTACTGCGGTCTATATTGATAAAAAGGTTTCCCGCCTATGTTATATGCATATATAAAAAAACACTTCCGAGACGGATTGTTATTTCACGTTTTTAGCTATACATAAACCTTTTTTTTTTTTTCACAAATGATCGAAGCTCCTGGAAATGCATAGTAAATAAAACCATTAAGAGGAAAATAATTAGAATTCGGTGTAATAGAGTAAACAAGCAAATTAAAAAAAAAAAAGAGGAGTTTTTTCTTCGTTTGTGGAAAGCGTCAGCTCATACGCATCAGAAGAGTTGGAAAAAAAAATGGAGGAAAAAGTTTTTGGAAATGGAGATGGACTTCTGCAGACATTGTTATGCCATTTCCAGATTTCAGCATATTTTCAATATTCCCATTATGGCAGAACATACAACAGGAAGAACGATCCTCTATAATATTGAACTACAATGCTGAAGTGGTATGGCTATTTACAAAAAATGCGGAAGGAGCTGTGTTCAAAAGCAATCTTTGACTATCGCCCTCCAGAGAGACGAAAAAGAGGGCGACGATCCAAAAAGAAATGATTAGAAATGTGGAGGAGAATCTGATTGTCTGAGGGCTTCGAGAAGACTAGCAAGATCGAGAAATATGGAATGGTTTTTAGAAACGATAAACGACTGAGTAAAAAAAAATTTCTAATGATTTAAAACATATAATCTCAATCTTATATACGTTCTTTATAACATGAATTTTATCGCAACACAAATAACACAATTGGTAGTAGGATATGTTTATGCCCTTAATAATAGTTATAGCAATTATTGCATGAATAAAAGATAACGGTTTAGAAGGATACTTCAAGTGGATGCATAGTTTAAACCGAAAATTGTCAGTGCCATAAAAGTAAGAAATATTGTGATTCTTTGCTCATAGAACTAGAAAAGTATGTTTCCTTGACGAATGTTGATTGAATAGATCAACTTATTTTAAAAAATGAGAATCCTTTCACCCAAGTCGAGTTAAAAGAGGAATTCATAAGATTTTTTTTTAGAGCATTGATTAAATGATCCAGTTTGTTTAGAAGTCCATTAGTCGAGGACACTTTGAGGTGTCCAAGCCATACTGGAAGCGAAGTAAATCTGTTTGTTCCGAGAAACCAGCAGCTTCTACACATAGATCCATACTCCCTTGGCGTTTATGGGTTTCCATAGAGATAGAAAATTATAAAAAAAGTTCGCTAGCGGTGTCAGAGTTGCCAAAATATATTTTAAGGAAACGAAAGGTCCTTATATATGTTGGACGACGAAATCGATAGATATTAAGTATTTTATAGTTGTAACATAAAAAAATATATATGTCCATAATTTAAGCTTTGGAGATTCTTGGCAATAAGCGGTGACGACAAAAACCAAAAAAAATGGTTTTTAAATATAATTCTTTAAAACTCTTTAGCAATTTCCTATATTGGATAAATTAAAGATTTGATATATAAAATAGCCGATCCGATAAATAATGGAAAGTTCTTGAGAATAATTAATGAATTCTGTCAAAAAACTATCTCCAATATATGTCGATACAGAGTCGGTGATTTAAAACAAAAGATTAATTGGGATGATTTTTTTCATCACTGTGATTTTCACGTAAGCCATATTACCGTGACAGAACCCATATTAATGATTAATTAACATTTAAGGTAACGCATTGAACTGGAAAAGTATCTTAAACTGCACACCTTTAAACAATGTTTTGAAAAAATGAATCTAAGTATAAATCAATTCGAGAAAATCGGTTGAAATTTGCAAGCATCTCATTTCCGTTAGACTCTTACGAGACTCAGTTTTAATTTGAAATCACTAAACAGGTTTTTGAAGCTTTTATGTGATACAAGAATAAAGAGAAAAATATATAAATAAGGGATCAGCAGGCTTGGATAGTGGGGAGAGGTGCGAATGATGAACTACTCAGTTCTAGGGCTTTAGGTAGGATTTGCAAATCCCTAGGCCCAGGGTGGAATGGAATTTACAAGCCGCAAAGAGGAGAATAGTTTTTTTCTTTTTTTTTTAGAATAGAAACGTATTGAAATTCCATAAGTTATAAAAAGAAAGAATTCCAGAGAGGTCGTTCAAAGAAAAATTACTTACATAAAACTGTGATACGGTAGTACAGTAAAAGAAATAAAATAGAGGAATAAAGTATTTCATCAAGAGGAGTATCAAGGTAGAATACAACAGATATGTTCTAGAAATAATGAGATCCTGGAAGCGTCTTATACTCAAATTGGGGAAAAGGCGGAGAGAAATAAATTGAAAACTTTTGATTTAAAATATGTTTGATCTTACTGTAATAAAAAGATCAAAGGATTCTACGTCTGGTTTGTGAGAAACCAATTGTTAAAAAAGAACTATGAATAAATGCCTCAGAGGAAGGGACAAAAATTCCTTCAAGCAATTTGCATCACTTTCAGAAACATTCGGATTTTTAGATAACTAGTAGGCCCATGCGAAAAATTCGCACAGCATATTGTTTTCAAATGCCAAATTAATAAGAAAATAATAATCCAACGTATCAAAAGATAAAGAAATCAATTTTTACTTTATCGATAAATATAATCGACAAAGGAAACAAAAATTAATTTAAATCTTCATTAATGTTTGGAACCAACATGTTTACAAATTCAGTAAGCTGTATCTTTGCTAAAAATTATCCGATGTCGATGATTTTTTTTTTCCTTTTATAATTTAGTAATCTTTTATACAATCATGGGCACAACCAAGGGGAAAAGTGTGTGTTTACAACATTGATTACATGTTTTTTTTGTTTCTTTTAGAAAGCCCATTTCACAACTGTAGTACCATTTATAAAACAATATATTTTTTAAAATCAAAATCGTGGCCAATAAGTTTGGAGATCCCTGGTCTGGTGGATACTGAAGAACTTTTTTAAAAATAAATGGTGGTTGTGCAAGAGAAGTGTAGAAATTAATATTTATTATTCGTACAATTAATTGTTGAAAATGTGTCTATGCTTAAAAATTGAAAATTAAAGTTTTGCTCTAATCATTAATTAAGAATTTAAAATATATACAGATTTATAAAGTATAAACAAAAATAAAGGGCTTATACTTTATTAGTCTTACCCCGTAAGCTGTAAGTTTATGGAATACTACCAATTACAATGGCAAAAGCAAGATTTTTCCGGAATAAATAAGAAGTGAATATTACTGTTTATACTTTTAGCACAGTAACTTTTAGCCCACATAGATGAATTCCATGATTTCTTCCTCCACAACTTCTACCATCTAATCGCTCAAACTTGGCTAAAATCATGATCCCATCCTCTCACGTTTCACTCCCTAACTATACCTTACTCCGTCACGATAGAGTAAATAGAACCGATGGCGGACAATCCAAAATCCTCGCATTGTCTCCTCTTTTTCTTAGTTTCCCACATATCGAACACCTTCATATATCTATTACTAATTGGTGTCATCTACCGACCTCCTAGAGTGCCCTTTGATGAAGACCATCCTTTATAGATACGAACTGATACCTTTCTACTCTAATATTGTTCTTTCCGGAGACATCAACACCAACCTGTTATTTCCTTCCCCTGACCAAACCTACTTATCAAATCTGTATGTAGTCCATTACAACCCCACCCATCACACCCAGTATTCCGACACTTGGCTCGATCTCTGCGTTATTGATTGTCTTGATAAACTTGCCTCGTCACAGTATCCAGTTCCTTTTTTGTCTGCTCAAGATCTCATAAAAGTCCCCTATAAACTTTCTGTTCCGCTGTTCTCTCCCCGACCTATATATTTTAGAAACCTTGATTCCTATCATCCGAAATTCTGACGCCTGATCTTGACACAATCCAATCGAACTCCATATAGTCCTCTAACTCCGTTGATTTTAATGTAGAAATCCTAACCAATCATCTGCATATTATCCTGGGCCGTCATGCTCCTCTTAAAGTTAGGACAATCAATTATCCCTCAGCCTCTTGGCTAACGCCTGGGGTGAAATATTGTATTAAACGAAGAGATGCGGCAAGGAAGGTTGAAACCCAATCGACTTTCCAAAGACTATACCAACTTCAATCTCCTTCGAAACAGTACTCAATCCTTGGATACGCAGTGCTTTATTCCATTACTTTCAACAATCCCTATCCAGCACTTCAAACTTCAAAGCCATGTGGGCAATCCTCCGTAAATTGACCTTAGGCAAACCCACCCAAACCCAGTCTACTTCTATTTCAGCTGATGTACTCGACATTTATTTTGTCTCCTGTTTATCACATCCCCTTTTCCAATCACCAGTCCGATTCCTCATTTAAAAATTTAGTTTTTTTATTAATGTTGTAATTATTTAATTATTGCCAGAGTGGCCGATCTTCGAACCTACGGCATTTATCCATTCACTTTAACCCGCATATATGAAACATATAGCTTGAACATTTATATTCAAGCTAATAAAACTGCTGACATATAATTTCACAGTAAAAGAAGAAGCAAACTGTCCTTTTTACTACAGAAACATAAAACCTGTAGCAC